ATTAGGCAATACAGTTGCGTTGGTACAGGTGCAATTGCAAATCTTCAATGTTTGTAGACCAGACCTTTGTCATGATTCTTCGCAAAATCTTTTCTGTGTTGGAAAAAAAGCCATAAACCCAAACAGAACTGAATTATGTGAAAATTGGGTAACAGTAAAATTTTTAAACTGATTTAACAAAAATACGGTTCAGCTTCTTCTATTTGAAAACAAACTAGAACTGTTTTCCAGGAAAATCATGTAATTTTTGACATCTCTGCTGAAATTTGGTGTATGATGTAGTGTAGGTAGGTAGATGGAGTTCTTCAAAACAGAAGTATTATCAATCATGTAAATGGGTCTAAGGTTTTGATATCTTTAGAAATATACTTCTGTTGGACTACTTGTTTGGACTTTAGCTTACTTTGTGAGTCACTTCTCTGTTTTTGTCTGTCTCCATTTTCTTATTCTCTTTCTATAGACAGTATGTAAAATTGTAGATGACTTTAGGTTGGAAGGGACTCCAGAGGTCTTCCCATCAACCCCCTACGTGAACCATGGCAGACTTTAAAAGATGTGGTTGCTTATGGGCTCTGGTGCCTGACCGCTTTCATTGTGAAGATTTTTAATTTCTTCCAACTAATGAGAATTTCCCTTGTTGCAGCCTGGCTGCTGCCTCTCATCCTGTTGCTGTGAACCTTCACGAAACATCTGACTGAAGACAGTTTATATTCCCCCTCTGTGCCTTTAGGCTTCTGTTCTGCAAATGCAATAAACCCACCTCCTTCAATCGCTTCTTGTGCATCGTGTGCTTTAAGCCCTGGCCATCCTGATGGCCTTTGTCAGGGCTGTCTCAGCTACATCTGTGGACATGACTGTGTGTTCATTGCTGTCAAAGCTTCCCTCGTACAACTCTCCCAGTCAGCTGCAAGCTTGACTTAAAATTCTTGGTGCTAACTGCTGCTGCCTTTGAGTAAATGATTGATGTTTATTATTTAATATTTCTATGCTGTGTGTCTTATGGAAGTTGTAGCAGTTTTTATAGTTGGGAAGATGGTTTGTACTTCCCCAGGGGGTTCCTTTTTCAGCTGTGAGGTGTTGTGGGCATTAATGCAGAAGGTCAGTAGAGTGACTTTCCTTTCTGTAGTGTTGATGGGGGTTAAGTATTCAACCCTCATCCTTCTCTTCTATGACAAGAAGGTCAAAGATGAAACATAACCTTGAAAGTCATCACCCTTTCACCAAGGGTTATCCTTTTTTATTTGCTTGATTTTTTTTTTTTTTCTCTTTTCCAAGGTTAAACCTATTCCCTTTAGTGCCTTGCCCTTTGGTTATATACCTGCCTGTGGTATTGCTCATACCGTACTCAGTAACTAGCAGTCTTGAGATATGTTGCTTTGGGCACTTAGGTTTCAAAATATGTACGTTGTATTTTCATAGGTGGGTGTGAGATGAGTTGTCTAAAATGTAGGATGTAAAAATAATTATATATTTGTTCCTCTCACTTAATGAAGGGTGTCTGTGGGAACAGGATAAATAAGCAAGAATGCTGTATGGGACAGTCTTCCTGAGCAGGCAGTGTAGCAGTGTGGGATGCAGAGTACTGGCTTCTCTTCTGCTGTGTCTGCACTGTGCTTCTTATGCTGTGGTTAGCACAAAAATTGTTGATCTAGTTTGGATTTAACTGTACAAATATTTCTTTACCTAATTAACATCGCTTGTGCGAGTACTTTCAAAGACACTTTCAGATAGATATAACTTCTATGGAATGTATACGACGTAGGCACTTTGGTCTATTGGGACATGCTAGGTTACTGAGCATCAGTGGTCTTCAATCTGTGTTTTGTAGAGAAAGAAACTTCATGTTTTGCTAAAAATATTTTGTAGTAACTGGTATCACAGTGACTCTTTCCCATGTTTGCATTTGCAAATTGACTTCCTTCCATTCAAGGCTAGACTTGCCTGCGTACTTCTGTTCTTGCCTGTGTTCTCTCCCAGTTAGCTTCTGGTTCTCCTTCCTAATGGGCCTGCCTTCCCTCCTCCCACCTCCCAAGTTCATTCATATGCTTTTCACATAAACACTCATCAGTCCTGTGAGGGATGATTTTCTGCTGCGTAACAGAGCCTGTTTTCTTTCACACACTGCAACAGATACCAAAACATGATTTGAAAGTCCAGTGGCATTTTAGAAAACATTTCTGGCATGAAATATAATCTAAAATGGATTTAATTTTTTTAGTAATTTTAGAGAGTGGATTTTCAAGTGACACCTCTGTTACTCTTGACTAGTTGGCAAATACTGCATTTAAGAATAGCAATTCTCACTTTCTAATATGTATTTGCACCTCTTCTGCCGAAATGTGTGATTGGACATCCTGTGAAGCACGTACCTTTGTATTTAATGTGCGTTTCTGACAGATAGCCTTGCACAAAACTGCTTGTGTTATTACTTAGGTAGGAAGACATGAAGATCAAGCTGCAGGGCTTAGTTTTAATGATCCAGTTCAGAGCACATCTCTTGCTGAGTAATATCCTAGCATTGTCTTAACAGCCCCAAATCATGATCCAGTCATAGATAACCGTGACTTAAAAATGAGGTCATGAACGCCTGTAGTCATGACAGTTTTACTTGTAGATAAAGGAATGGCTAATCTCTCCATCTCACTACATTTTGAATGTAGAAATCATTTCCTGCTTGCTTCCTTTAATACTTAAACTTGTAAATGTCAATGTTTCAGTTCTGACCATACTAGTTCTGAGTTTGTGGTAGCCATGCTTACCTGCTTCTCTAGCTGAAGGAGGGTTCTGTCTTTCAGGAGTCCTTCATGATGAATGATCATTCATAGCAAGGTATAAAACTGTCTTCAAAGGTTAAATGTTTGCCTTCAGATTAAATGGATGTTTCCAGTTAGTCTTAGTAGCCCCTAGATGGGCAGATGTAGGCCTTACTCAAGTCTTGATACTTACTGAGCTACGGCATTGGTGAGGGCTCGCAGTTTAAGTGAAAATTACTGTTTTATTTTTGGTGTAGTAAAATCTCATCTTTACTATGTTGCACTAAATTTAAGCTCAATATTAAATGTTAGCAAGCTGTATGGTATTATACCATGTTTGGATGTTAATATAGTTGCTTCTGTTGTATTTGTCATTGTAGCATCATGATCTTAAGTCATCGCTTCCTTCATCGGCATTAGTAATGTGTTACTGGATTATTATATTGGCTGTATTATAAGTATGGCTCCTTCTGGTTATACAGTTGTGACAGTACCAAATCTAGCAGAAAGCTTAGACAGGATAACTTCTTTTGAACAACTATTTGAAGAGTCACTAGGTCTTGTCTACTGGAAGTCCAGCTTGAACAAAAATTGGATAGCGTTGTTTTAGCTAGCCGACCTTGGGGTTTGCTGTACTGCTAACCATCTTTTCAGTTAACAACCCGTTTTGTTTTAACTAAATTCGTGCATTGGCTTCTGGCACTGTAGCTAGAAGCTCCTTTTTTTCATTCAACATTTCCTCTTGCCCTCTTGAAGGTGTTGATTGCATTGTATGAAGACTAAGCAATATTTGAATCTTTTATTACACACATTGAACCAATGTCTAGAAGTGTTTACTGGTCTATTAAGAGGCCGGAAATCTGAGGTTACAGTTAATTCTAGCCATAATCTTCCAGTAAAACTTCATTAAGTGGTAGCATGTAAGAATTATTTTGTTATTTAATGCTTTAGATGTTTGAAAGCTGGGAGTTGTTAGTCAGAGATAGTGTAAGTCATCATGGTACTTCTATTCCAGGACCTTTTAAGGCAACTGCAAAAGCGATTGAGGACCTGGAATCTTGGCGGTGAGCAGAGTGGAGTTTGTACTACAAGGTTCTGGTAGACCAGTGCCGTGGTACTTCTCAAGAAATTATGTATTTTACTGGAAAACCCCTCAGTTTCCAAAGAAAATATTACAATGTAAAAAAGGAGCGTACTGGTATTTTTTTGTATGTTATTGATATTCCGTCACAGAACTCGTAACAATAATAACAAAAATTTCTGTATTGCAGATTTAATCCAGTGCACAAATGAGATGAATGTGAACATCCCACAGCTGGCAGACAGTTTGTTTGAAAGAACTACCAACAGTAGCTGGGTAGTGGTCTTCAAATCTCTCATCACAACCCATCATCTAATGGTGTATGGAAATGAGGTAATACAAAAAATGATATATCGGAGAACAGTTACAGCACTTCGTTCTTATAAAAGTCAGCTAAATGCTTCCGCTGGTTATCTTTGTAAGAAAAATCTTTATTTTTACCTTTTTGTGTTCATGCAGAATTAGACAAGGTCTCACCATATGTTTGTCTGTTTAGTTTGTTTTTACTTGAAAGTGTGTAATTTTAGAATCAAAAGTAAGTGTCCTGAATGCTGGAGGTACTTTTTTTTCTGTGATGTTGTCCTAATAATAAAACAAACAAAAAACCCAACAGAAATTCTCTTGAATGGGATTCTGAAAGCTGAAAATGGAAGCATTTTTAGGTTCATGCTCTAACTAATCCAGATATGCTTTTCTCCCATGTAACTCAATTCTGATTTCCACCATCGCCCCCTAACCTTTTCCAGTGAAGACAAATGTGTGCCTGTGAGCTGGCTTGGAGTGTGAACATCTGAATAACGCCAAATACCGTAGAGCAATTAAACAAAGCCTCAATTTACACAAAAAAGGAATAAGCTTGTTTTGTTCCACGACTTCAGTTCCTATGGGGTCTTATTTTTCAAAATGCCAAGCATAGCAGCAGCTTGAATTTTCTGCATTTAAAAAAACAAAACTATACTTTTATGGCTTTCTTAGAAAGTGTTTGTAAACATTCATTTTTACTGCAAACAGTCAGTATAAAGTAAGCTATGTAAATTTTGGAATTAAGAGGGATAGCTATAGAAAATGACAAATAGGATTTTGTGGAGAGGACCCAAACTTTTGGATTGCATTCGGAGTTCTTAGAGGTCATGTAACTGCTTCCTCTGGCTGACTGGCTGCATGGTGGTGATGGGGGTTAAGTTTTTTTTTTTTCTTAAAAAAAAAAAAAAGAAATACTGATTTGTCTTGCAGGTTAGCTGCAGAGTATTTCTGGTCTTGGTGAAAATCTGTTCTTTGAAGCTAAGTAAGCCACAAGAGGGCAAACTTCTCATGTTGACTTGAAGCATCATCAGCGGGATAACTGACACTTTCCAAAATAGAGTCTATATGCTTTTGCTGTACTTGCACTTTGAGTCATACAAATTTTAAACTGATACCGATACACATCATAGTAATTAAAGGTATTTCATGGACCACTGTCTGAAATACTTTCAATTTTACGGACAGAACTGTCAAACAAATTTTGCTTGCCAAATGTGTTACAGAAGTAATGAGGGTAAGATTGCTGCTCAGGATGAAACTTTTCAGTTAGAAATAGTACTTGTACAATGAACATGGAAATCAAGTGCTTATGAAAATGTCTAGAAGTTTATAGGGAATCTGTAGATCCCTTTGTAAAAGAATTGAAAAGCGTTCGATCCTCCAGCTTTTGCTTAATTCATTTATACTAATTACTCAGTGCCTTTACTCTTCTCGAGTCTTCTTTCTACATAACCTATGTATTTAAATAATGAAAATAACTCAGTAGTACCTGTAACACTAATCGTAACTGTTTTTTCCTCTGTCGAGATGTTATTGCGAGTGAATGATTGGTTTGTTTTTGTAGCAACTCTCTGTACAATGGTTCATAAGACAAAATTATTTCTCCTACTAATAATTTAGTGCTGCCAGTGATCTGAAATGTGTCTTTACAAGATGAAAATAGCATCGTTCATTTTGCAAAACATAATTCAGAATTATGTGTAACTGAGATGTTCTGTGTGATACTGTGTTAATGTTTTAGATAGTTTCTTGTGTTTGTTTATTGTGTGATTTATATGCAAAATAACCTTTACATCACCTTATTTTCATATTTAAGCTAAGCACCATTACAATTGTAGGCTGAACAAAGATTCCTTGGCTGACTGGTAAAATGAAATCAATTGTTATAAAATTGTAGTGAAACTATTGTATGTGAAATGAGAACGCATTTGGGGGGATTTTTACAAAAGTTTCCAGTTCCATGTTCTGGCTTAAAATAGTCAGTCTTTCAGTCAGAGGCCTTCATGCCATATCTGCGTGACTGATTTGTTCATGGATTTATACATAAAATAACTAGATTCATTTGAAAATTTGTCTGACTTTTTGTGATAGTTTCCAGATTGGAGATCAGTCTTAAAGAATAAAAGCTGAATTTCATAAGCTAGATAAAAAGAGTTTCTAGAACTGTTACCTCAGTTTCAGCTCATTGGTAATATAGTAAAAGCATTCAAACTTTTCCTTTCATCTAGCGTTTTATCCAGTATCTGGCGTCCAGAAACACATTGTTTAATTTGAGCAATTTCCTAGACAAAAGTGGACTGCAAGGTAAGACGTCTTTTTCATTAAAAGTTAGTAGTGTGCTGGGGGACAGTAAAATGCAACTTGGTAACTCTAATGGAGTGTGTCATTTAAGATGTAATTTTTCTGTCTGTTTTACCCCAGACTGCATTTCTTAATTTAAAATGCTGTTGTGGCATGGCGGAAGCTGTCCGCTGGAGGAATTTGTTGCATCTTTTAGGAAGGGCTTACTGATAAGTACGTCTAACTTTCTTAGCTAAACAGATCTGACTTAGTATTCCTCCTGTTTCTGAAGAGATTTCTTCATTTGGAAAGGTATATTTTGATTAGTAAGTTATACTTCAAAAAATGCATCATGTGTGCATCAGATACTGCAAGTCAGTGAGACAAGAACTGTGTCTAAAAAAGACAAAATAAATTAAGTTTTTTGGGAAATTGTTCAAAGACCATTCCATCCATCTTTTAGACTATTTCTATGGTCAAGTAAGTGTTCTCTGGTTCAGATTTTTTTGAGTGAAATACTCTTCCAAACTGTTATACTGCACTTCAGTGCAGTTCTGATCGTACATCTAGCTGCCATCTTTTTTCTCCTGAGATGGCTTCTTAATTTCTGCATTACTTTTTACACAGCTGCTTCCAATTTTTGCCACCATTGTACTGCAGTGGGCATACAGAGTGGTTGCCTGAGCACAGAAACCACCTCAGTGATAACCAAGAGTCTACCAGATTGCCTTATTTTATTGAGTCTTAACTTCCATGATCTCGGTATAGATCTTTTTCTTGGTCTGTATCCTGAGACTGACAGTTATTAAAAATATTTCCTATTGTCACTGTCTTAACACGGAAGAATCTCTGTTGTGTCCTAATGTCTCCTTCAATGCCTTTTTTTTTTTCTATTCAGTTGTAAATGAGAGAATGTGTCGTGGAGTTGATGCAAACATATTTGTGAATGCGTTGTGTAATTTTTTTGGTAGCAATTTCTAGTAGAGTATGAGAGAACTTGCATAAAAATACTTTGTTTTTCTTTTGGAAGTAATTTCCTTAGGAAGTGAAATGTAAACTTTTACATAGTTCAAGTCTTCAAGATATTTGTAGTGTTGTTTGATTTACATGGTGACTAGGATGATGTACACTGTTCTTGGTAACACAGATTAACTGTGCAACATCAGGCAAAAATATAACAAAACTGTCTTGCATTAATATCTTGCACTTTATTTAGAGTAAGGTTCTTGATCTTTAATTGACTAGGTGAGAAATAAGCTTCTGAAACTTGTTTTTTAGGCTATGACATGTCAACATTTATCAGACGGTATAGTAGATATCTGAATGAAAAGGCAGTTTCCTATAGACAAGTGGCATTTGACTTCACAAAAGTAAAAAGAGGGTAAGCACTGTATTTTTGTTTTTGCTTATCTTGAGGTTTTGGTCTATGTCCTGTAATTCAAGTGGAAATACTGATGCTGGCTCCAGCTTAGTACAGACAGTAATGTCTGCTTTTCTCAGTTGGATGTCTCCCATGACACACAAAGGCTCAACTGCCCAGTTATGTATATTGCAAAAATAGTTTACTTCAGTTATTGTAATTTTATTTCTTTAAACATTAACAGTTTAATATTAAGAAATGAAAAATGATATGCCTCAAAGTATGTATCAAAAAAGTAGAAGTTTGCACGAGTCTTCCATGATAGATCACAAAGTTACTTTGTCTTGCATGTAGTGTAGGGGACTGTGCAGTTTACTTGTGTTTCTAGCTCTGGAATGTTCAGACGATGGGTGTTTGGTGAAACCTTGCAGTCCTTCCTGGTGTTTCTGTTCTTGTGCCCAAATGTCTGTGTGAAGTTTACTACCTTTGTGAAGGCAGTACAATTCATACTTCTAACAGAACATTGTAGTAGATGCTACCCCAAAATTAGGAGAGCTTGGCTACAGGAATTCAGATTTTCCCTGGGTGAGCTCCTTTAAGAGAAATCAATTGTTTGAGACTATAGGTAACTATTTACATGTGAAATAATACAGTGCAGAGCACGGGCAGTTAGATAACATGCAAGTTATAGTGAACGATTGAATTAATCTGGTGATCTCCTTTATTGATGGGGCTGGAGAGAATGTACTGGTCACAACTGAAAGTCTTTCCATCTTTATCCGTTATCTCTGTACGCAGTGCTTTTTAAAGTTTAAAAACATAATTTTAGTTTTACGTTTGGGCATTGTTTGTCATCCATATGCAGGATAATTTATCTTATACTTAAAAGTTAAGTGGGCTGCCTAACAAGATCTGTTAGTGTTATAAAGCCATTTGAAATTGGCGTGAGAAGACTTTCCAAATCCCATATACCTCCTTGCTAATACTGTACAGCCCATTTTATTTGGAAAAGTGATGTTAAAGGGGAATGCTTGGGTGGTTCCACTGTTTCTGCCTCTAAAGCTGGTTGGAGTCCCAGCAACATAAAACACTTAGCCTTTTCCACATGTAGGATATGTGTGTGGTCAGGTGGCTGCAGATACACTGGGGAGTTGCACAGTTGCTTTATAATCAGGTGGTTTAGGCCTAATGGTGAATTATTTAGCCCACAGCACGTGCCTGGAGGTCCTTCTGTGAGCCAGAAGGAAGAACTGTTCCAGTGGCTGCAATCTACCTTTTCCACATAGCTTTTTTTTTTTTTTTCCTCAGGGCCTCTGCTCCTGTGCCCTGGCACGTTAGGTATATTGCAGTCGCTGTTGGTTGTCAGGAGGGGAGTGTATGGCCCAAGTGGAAGGCTGGAAGCAGTGTGCTCCCTGTGGCTTCCCAGCCAGGGGAACAGCCCCAGCCCTTTCTGTGCAGATGCACTGTGAGATCTGCACTTGCAGGACACATTTGGTTTGCTGTGTGCATGCTGATGCAGCTACAAGGCTGTCTGAGATGTCTTACAGAAAGCAGTTGTTTCTTGTCACTGAAGTGATTTAATCTTCCTTGGCTGTTGCTTTTCTTGGGTATTTTTGCTCTTAGTCTATTTAATCTGGACAGCTAATAAACAACCAAGTACTGGTGGTCAGCCATTAAAAGGAAGTGTCATGTAGTCTCTAGAATCTTTCTGGAAAAGCTTGAAAAATATATTGTCAAATTTGTTTATTCTGTCTTACTGCTTTTAGTTGAAAAGAAAATCACCCAAACGATCATGAAATAATAATAGGGTGATTGAAAAAAGTGTAGGTAAAAATCTGCTTCAGAAATAACCTTCAGAGGATTTTGTTGGTTACATTATGCATCATAGCTCTGCTATATTTCTGAGCACTATCAGTTTAATTTCCTCTGAAAAATAGTTCATCTTGGATTCATATTTTGACCAAATAGAAGTTGTTGCTTTTTTACACTGCAGTTATTAGGGTTGTATTGGCTAGACAGCATTCCTAAACATCAAAATGCCTACTTTGAATGGCAATGATTTAAATGTTTTCTGTGATGACCTGTTTTAGTTTTACATTGTGTTTCTCACTAACAATTGCCTTCAAAATTCAGCTGGAGAATTTTCTTTTGTTTTGCACAACAGGGCTGATGGAGTGATGAGAACAATGAGCACAGAAAAACTCTTAAAAACTGTACCAATTATACAAAATCAAATGGATGCACTTCTGGACTTCAATGTGAGTTTAGCAGCATGTACATGTCTAACGTACTGTTGACTTTGGTGTACAAACATGCAGGAGCTTGTAAAGTAGATCAAGATCAAAGGTTTTTAACTTGGCTCCATGTTATCAGCACAGCTTAAAGAGCACAAATCATTTGGTTCATTGATACACCCCCAATAATCCAGAAAAAAGAAATGTTCTGACTGGAGGGAATGCTTTCTGCTAAATTGGTGTTGTTTATTATGTACGTCGTGTAAGAATTGTTTGTTCATTTAAAAGTTGATTATTTCTGCCCTCTATCTTTTAGGTATGTTAGTTAACATTAACAGAAATGTCTGCCAAAATCACAGAATGGTAGGGGCTGGAAGGGACCTCTGGGATCATCTAGTCCAACCACCCTGCTGAAGCAGGGTCACCCAGAGCAGGCTGCACAGGACCTTGTCCAGGCGGGTCTTGAATATGTCCGGAGAAGGAGACTCCACAACCTCCCTGGGCAGCCTGTTCCAGTGCTCCATCACCCTCAGAGGGAAGTTCTTCCTCATGTTCAGACGGAACTTCCTGTGCCTCAGTTTGTGCCCATTGCCCCTTGTCCTGTCGCTGGGCACCACTGAAAAGAGTCTGGCCCTGTCCTCCTGACACCCACCCTTCAGATATTTATAAGCATTTCTAAGGTCCTCTCTCAGCCTTCTATTCTGCAGGCTACATAAGTCCATCTCCCTCAGCCTTTCCTCGTAGGGGAGATGCTCCAGTCCCCTCATCATCCTCGCAGCCCTCCACTGGACTCTCTCCAGTAGCTCCTCATCTTTCTTGAACTGGGGAGCCCAGAACTGGACACAGTAATCCAGATGGGGCCTCCCTAGGGCAGTGTAGAGGGGAAGGAGAAGCTCCCTCGACCTGCTGGCCACACTCTTCTTAATGCACCCAGGATCCCATTGGCCTTCTTGGCAACCAGGGCACACTGCTGGCTCATGGCTAACCTGATCCACATGATGATTCGATTTAATTCTGTGCTGAGTGTTCCTGTGTTGATTTGCTGTGCTGCTACTTTCCTCTAATAGCCAGTGAGATGATTGGAAAGCACGCCTTGGCATAGCATACTGGAGTTCAACTAGAAGCTTGCCAATAAAGGATCAATTCAGTTAAATTAACTTTTTTCTGATCTTCTTAGGTTAATAGCAATGAACTCACGAATGGTGTAATTAATGCTGCCTTCATGCTCCTCTTCAAAGATGCCATTAGACTGTTCGCGGCGTACAACGAAGGGATTATTAACCTCTTGGGTAAATGTAACTGCTTTCTGTGATGTTAAACTTTGGGGAGGGCACTCAGTAAACAATCGCAGAGAGCTGCTCTTTTTTGAGATGTTGAAATAGTCTTATTGTAAACCATCAAAATATTGCTGTTACTTCCAGGTCACATTTATTTCCAAGATTTTAGTGCCCAATTGCCTTTTCCATTGCATTGTATACAGGGATGGGTAAATTTGTGGAAGTGAAGCTAATTTGAGAATTTCTTCACTTTTTTTTTTTCTTACACTGCTTTGTTTGGCATTTTTTTTTGTCTCATTGAACTGTGTGGCAAACCTGAATCCTGATACTGATGGTTTTGGCTTTAAGAAACAAGATCAGGTTTTGTTTCTTTTTATATGGAAGAAGTTATGATCAGTTACAAATTTGCAGTCCCAGCCTCTGCGATTCCTTGGCTATCAAAACTTTAATGTTGATGCATTTTAATGATTGACTGGCTTATATTTCTAAAATATATCCTATGTTTTAAGGGGACTTAGAAATTCAGGCTTCAGGCCCTTTCACCTGCACACACTGAAGATGCAGGGGAACCTAAATTTGGAAAATAATGAAGTTGAAAATCTGATTTGCTTGGTTTGGTTGTATTCTGTTATTGGATCAGGCTACCTGATTGCTGCTGTTACGCAATGCTTGCAAGATTGGAAAGCAAAATCCAGACTTAGTCAAGGATAGTCATGCTTCTAGTCTGCAGCTCCTGTCTATTTCTTTTCCGTCAGTAAGAAGAACTAGCACACAGTTGCTTTCACTCATGTTTTGAGTGAAGCTTAATACAGAAACAGGCCTTGAAAGTGCTGTTTCAAGAAGGAGCGTGGGACCCTCTCGCTTTCAGCACTGATGTTTTTTCATCAGTTGCACCTTCATTGTAGACCACACCGTAACAAGAGGCATCAGTCTGGCGGAGAATATCAAAATCTTGATACGTGGCCATGGGAATAGAGTTTGACTGCCAGATGGTAGAAGTAGACAGATCTGCAGGCGTTTTCTGTTTGTCTTTTTATATGTGTTTATTTTGCATATCCTTTGCGGAATGCTTGATTTCTTATTTAATGCAAGTATTCTTACTGTTTATAGAAAAATACTTTGATATGAAAAAGAACCAGTGCAAAGAAGGCCTTGATATATATAAGAAGTTCCTCACTAGAATGACACGGATCTCGGAGTTCCTTAAAGTTGCAGAGGTAAAATTTAGTCAGCCGAACTTTGCCCTTGATTTGAAACAGCTTATAAAGTGCTTATGTTGTCATAAAGCTGATACTTCTTTCTTCCAGCCTAATTGCAGTTCCATCAAGGGTCACCTTGTCAGTCTCTATGCTGGTGATTAGTTCATTTGAGGGCTGTATTGAAAAACCTGACTATAAACTGGCTTATTTTAGGGAGGGTTTACAAATACGTGTTTTAAAGTTTCCTCAGTTATATGATAACTATGAACCGTCTTTCAAGAGCAGCTTTGCTTTTAAACAAATTAAGTAACTTTGTGGTGATCTTCTGCTTTCCATGATTCTAGCTGTATTTTAGTTTGAAACCCATAATTCTACCATGAGTTATAGATGAAATAACAGTTCACAAATAAGAAATTGGGACAAGCAGATGAACATGTGATGATTTTTTTTTAAAGATATCTTGGCTGCAGGTGTGTTTATACAGGAAAAAGCAGTTACCTTGCAAAATGGTGTGTTTGTGGGGTTTTTTTCAATGTATTTAGTCAGTTGCATTCTTGTTTCTGAAGCCTTGCTGAATTGATGTCCTAGTATTATGGAATTGCTCAGGAAGTGCTCCTGTTCTTGTTTGGCTTTCCTTCATTATTCATATCTCTCAACACAAAATTAAGCCATGAAGCTTGGCTTGCTGTCTGTCCTGACAGAATATCTCTGTCGGAGATACTGCCTTCAGCTGTCTTCAGTCAATGACACTATCAGCTGAAGCTCAAAGTATTACTCTTTCTATTGTAACAATATATGTCCTGCTGTAGAACATCTTAAGTTTGATCTGCGTTTTAGAAAACAGCTCCTTTAAATTTGAAGGTGCTTTGTTGTAGCAAGTATATGCTCTGTATCAGTAGGTCTGAGAATTTACCACATAAATTACGGGATAGGCAAACTTCTCTAGCCTTAAAATTCTGAAATGCTTGAATCTTACTCTGTTTTATTTCTAAGGTTGTACCTGTTAAAATATCTCTGTAACATGCCCATGTCAAATGTATATACATTGAACAGAAGAAATTATTATAACCAACCATTATACAGAAATTTAAAATGCATATGGACAGGTTTGTGGTTTTTATATGACTCATCTTAATGTTGTTTGCTTTTTGAGGATCTCTGCCTTTAAGAAAAGCAAACAGGTTCTAAAGCTCATTTGTTTTATTACAGCAAGTTGGAATTGACAGAGGAGACATACCAGATCTCTCACAGGTAGCTAAACCTATTATGTGTTTGCCAGTACATGTCTGTTTTGGGGTTGCATAATCAGAAAAACTTGGCATTATGGCATTCACTTACGCTTTCTTGCATGCGTTGTCACTAGGTTATTTCCAAGTTTGTGATTACATCCAGTCTCTGTCAGAGCCTGGCTTTTAATGTGCAGTGATCCTGTTGTAAAATATTATTGATAACTTCTGTCATACTCTAATTGAGTTTTAAGGCAACCTGATTTATATCACGCTTGAAGACACAATTTGGATCTGTGTGTTCACGTACTGAAACTCTCACACGATATTATGAAGCTGTGGTTTTTACCAAGCTTGCTTTTTGCTGTATGCCCATTTAAATCATTGAGGGCTTGCAGAGCGTGCACACAGAGATGACTTTAGGTGCAATTTCCTTCTTAGTGTCTCTTGAAACACAGACTGCTTCCAATTGTCTGCTTGTTGTTTCCTAGCTGTTAATTTTAACATCTCTTGGCATATTTCAGTACTTAATGATGAGTCAGTATGACAGAGTAATTTAGTGAAGAGAGTCCGTCATCTGATATTTTAAGTAATTAAATATGTACAGGATGCCAAGATGTGGTGTAAGTATTCTGAGCTGTTGTACCAGTTGCCCTACAGTTGCATTCTTTGAAAGTCTTTTAACTTCTGATTTGCTTTGCCGTAGATTCTTCAGATCTGTTCCGTGTCTCTCTTTGCAGGCACCAAGTAGCCTTCTTGATGCTTTGGAACAACATTTAGCTTCTCTAGAAGGGAAGAAAATCAAAGATTCCACAGCTGCAAGCAGGTGCATATGCCCTTGTCCTTTTAAACAATTGTTGAATCGAATGTTAAAGCTATTATTTTTTATTTCATAATAGGCTAATATTTGTGTAGGCTATGTTGAAGATGACTATATTGTATTAGTAGTGATAGAATAGCAAGTTACCATGTCTTTTGCTGAGTATTTAAGACAGCTCAACAGAACTGGAATCTAAGGAGCTGCAAGCACTTGCTGTAGAATCCATCTTTTAGTAGTAATTCTTTTAATATCTAATCTTCAACTTCTGGAGAGAAACTAAGGTTTTTTCACTTACTGCCTGCAGATGTTCTTTTTATGTTAGTAATTAGACTAAGGTATGCAACATTTATTTATTAATGCCCTTAGACTGTGTATCTCAACTTTAATCCCTTTTTTGTCAAAAGCAAGAAAATGCTTCCGGAAGTCCTTAAATTAAGAACCAATTCTTAAAGTAATTGGGGATTAAAGCTGTACTGTATATGGCAAAAGGCATTCACGGATTTTTAAGTGCTTGCTAAAACACAAAGCGCAATCTAGAGAAACCCTCTAGGCAACTAACTTCGTTGTTTAAATTTAAAAAAGCTTAATATTGGAGGGGGAAGAATTGCAAAATTAAATAGCGTTTATTTATTGCATGCTTGAAAATAAGGCAGTAATGTGTTCTTTTTGATCGGAGTGACAATACTAAGGTTTAGCACCATTTTGGTAGGTACTTTTCAGAATATTAGCTTTTTTTTTGTAAGATGGCTTTGTTTTAAATATTTTTGCACTCTCTTAAGGATGATGATAAATTGCAAACTTTACCTCTGCGACATACTAGTTACATTGGTAGTTTCTTAACTAAACCTGTTAAATTAGCAACAATTTGAAATGGAGCCCAGATTATTGGAGATTCCTACGTATCTACAAATAATGCCATCTTGAGCAAACAGGAAGGGAGCAAAGGCTTCAAACGTGAATTCTGTGATGCAGTTTGGAGGGGAAACATTTAAGGGGGAGAATCCAAAATCCAGAGTGTAAGAGTAGATGGCGTGATTTCTAGGCGTTTTCATTTTGCGGTTCATACATTATACCTTATTTAAACTTGTTGCTTTGGAAGGTACAGTGTAAGGTATAAATGTTATAAACAGTTCAGAAGGAGACTGGGTGGATACAAGCGAAGTGTTCCGTAGGTGTTCCTATCACGTGTCACCTATCAACAGCCAGTTTTTCTCTTGTCCAATTACTTCAGGGCTACCACCCTTTCCAATGCAGTCTCTTCCCTTGCAAGCACTGGCCTGTCCCTCACGAAGGTTGATGAAAGGGAAAAACAAGCTGCGTTAGAGGAAGAACAGGCTCGCTTAAAAGCTTTAAAGGTAGGCATACAGAATTTTAAATTGAAAACACTTTTCCTATGTTCTTGTTGATAGCTTATTAAGATCCTTAAAGGAGCAAAGGGGAAAAAACAGTAATACTGAACATCTACTGCTGGCAAAGTGCTGGAAGTAGAATCTTATGTACATGTACCATGCAACTTATGGAGGGTTTGTTTAAATAGTTTCTGAAGTATTTGTGGCACCACTGACTCTTGTGATTATAAGTAGCTGACACTACTAGTGTGTGGAATAAGTAAAAAGAATTCTTTAAGTTCTGCTTTATTTACCTCCAAAGTCATATACACAAATGTTGTTTCTGGATTTCTTATGCCAGCTCACTTTCCCAACAGGAGCAACGTCTAAAAGAACTTGCAAAGAAACCTCATACCTCTTTAACAACTGCAGCTTCTCCTGTGTCGACTGCAGCGGGAAGCATAATGACTACACCAGCCATTGATATTTTTTCTACCCCTAGCTCTTCAAACAGGTATGCTTAATGGTGTTGCTTCTCTGTGAGATGTGCTGCAGCTGGGGTTTCCTCTAAATTTCTGCTGCAGAGCGTATGTTGCAGACAGTTGGTTGGGTGTAGAGTACGTTAATGATGTGATAAGATATGAAGTTTTCAGTAAAGTTGATGGGAAGATAACCTATTGCCGTAAATAACATAAAAACTGTGTTTTCATCGTCCGTTTGCAGAATAGTTTCTGGTAAGAACCAACTGACAACCATTGTAGCTGTTCTGAGTCGGTGAGCCTGGACGGCGGGAACTAGACAACATACATGCTTTATCCCCAGAGAACCTTACAAGTTAATTTGGGAAAAGGCAAATGAAAATTCAGTTTGGGAGGTCATAAAGATAATACATGTTTTAATAGTCATAAAGATAATACATTTAATGTTGCATTTCTAGATCTTTTTAAATAGAGTGGTAACAAATGTTCTTGATGGATTTTCAGAAAAAGGAAAGCCTGAAACAGGGTTTGAAAGAAGAGAGGCAGGTTTTGCAGTCTTGAGTTGTATCTGGAACATCTCTGTCTGCAAGGACTTGCAAAGAGAGTGCAGGAGTACTCACTGCACACTAATCCTGATCTTAGACTAGCAGGAGCTGTTGGTATGAGTAAGTGTGGGATCTTCATTCTGTATAATAGCTGTCAAATCAAGCAGAAGGTACAGTGCTTTTGTCAATGTAGAAGGAAATAACTCTCTGAAGGCTTTTTTTTTGCTTTGAGTGTGATCCTAAAGCTAAAGGATTGCTTGGTCATTCTGTTAGAGCTCACATAAGAATCTCCTTGTCTCCTTTAGCTTTTTGCTGTTCTTTTGAAGTAGTTAGCTCTTTGACAGCCGCCTTTCCCTATTAGAAAGCTACTGTGCGAAATTGCTTGACACAGCACATGTGGAAAATAGCTCAATTGCATATAAGGAGCTTCAAAAAAGATTATTTTAAATTGCTTTTTAGAGGCCAAAATACTTGAAATGGTCATATGCTTTGATCTAGTAACTTTGAATATCTGATCTTGCTTTTTAAGGGGTCTGAAACATAGAAACATCTGATAATGCTTCTTCAAACAGCCAGAAATGCTACATAATGAAGACAAGAGCATTTTCTTCTAAAAAAGCAAATGCTAGTTTGTCTTTATGTTTAAATTCAGTTGCTGGCGGAATGACTGCTACGAGCAAAGACCAGATTTTACAGCAGGAGCTGCTATGGAGGCGAGGTGTTGGGTCATAAGTTCAGCTGCTTGCTGTTAGATGCAATGTGTCTTATTAGTCCCGATCATTGACTTGAACAAGCTTTACATTGAAAATTATCTTGGTTCTGCTGCCCACAGTACAGGGCTGTGTCAGACCACACTGCTTTTTAATAGGAGCAGTTGTAGTAAAATGTGATTTCAATCACTGTAGAAACGAAATAGAAAAAACAGAGTGATACAAGTGATGGGGTCAGCAAGAGAATATACAGAGATCTAGGATGTGACTGCTAGCCTTTAATTCTTGTGTCAGTCTCATTTCGAAAGATGCTTGGGTGCGACAGCGACTTAGCTTCTGTCCATAGTAGCAGCTGTAGACACAAATTCTAGTTCATTGTGTGCTAAAAAGTTCCGAGTGAACACCAGTAGTCCTTTTTTTGTCTTTTTTTCTCCAGGACTAATTTAAAGTATGAAATGAGCTCTCTGCAAGAGGATGAATTTTACTGTTCCTGTTTGACTCTTGAAATTATTGTAGTGGCTGTGTTGGAGTGAAGTCTTAATTTCCATGTGATGTTCTTAGGTCTCAGTTTGGTTTTGAATAGTCTAAAATGTGCATTTAAATGAGTTTTCATTCATGTGACTAATCTGTGACAGTGTTTCAAGGCTTCTTACCTTCTTACATTTTACTGAAGAACTTTAGGGAAAGCAGCTCGTAGGTGCAAGCCAGTTTCTCAGCAGAGATTGATAGTGGAAAGACAGGAATTGTGGAATTTAGATGTAACATTTTGGTGGTGCAGCCCATTAGAGTTCAATTTGCTTTTGTCATACTGTAGGGCTTGCATGAGGTGATTTTAAGAGTTGCTGAAGATTGCTGAACATAACGTGCTCTAGCTCTGGTGTTGGCCTGTGAGGAAGATGAGAAGACTGGTTGTCTTTCTGTCTTGGCTTTGAAAAAAGTCACTTGGCATGACATAGGACTTAGCTTGTTATATTAACCCTTTTCTACAGAAGTGAAAATGTGAAGTTCACTAGACTCTGATTTTGGCTTAGTTTTATCCTTTTTGTAACAACCAGTTTGAAACAAAGCTTTCTTTACTGTTGACAGTCACTAACGTTTGCCTTGTATTGAAAACTGTGACGTAGTTCAGTTGTGTTAATTTGTCTTTGTAGCACTTCAAAGCTGCCAAATGATCTGCTTGATTTGCAGCCAACTTTTCATCCATCTGTACATCCTATATCTGCTGCTCCACAAGTAGGAAGTACCTGGGGAGGTAAGAACTCTGAATCGTGTTAAGGTTCTCGTTCCTATGGCCGTGTTCCTGTAAATGTTTCCTCTGGGCTGTTTCTTCCTTAAAAACAGAGATGTTGCAAAGACGAGCTATGAGTGGATGAAGGGAGCAGAAAAAGTCAAATCTGGGTATGGATTAAAATCGTATAGTGGCACATGGTGATTACAAAGAATTTTGATATGAAAGTTCTTAGTAGCAAAGTTACTTTAACTGTTGATGAGCTCTGTCAATCTCAACTGCTGTCTTCAAGTCATGTAGCAAGCTACAGAGTTAGCTGTGAGAAGTCAGTTCTGTGAAGATGTCTGCCAGATAGCCCATCCCGCATACACAGGAACTTGGATACAGAATTTTTTTAAATGCACATTTTAAATTTTGACTAATGTTAAATCAAATTTGCAGGCGATAGAGCAGAACTTGGATGAGGTCTGAAAGGAGTAGTCGTGACAACTATACATAGAAAGCGAGAAAATCCAGAGTTAATTATTGAAAAAAAAATAAGACACCTCTTTACAAATGCTCTGCTGTGTTTCTTTTCACTACAAAGGCAAGTTAATAAAAAGCTGTGGTTGAATCTCTTAAGTGACGAGACAAAAATTATAAGGAACTCCTCCCTCTGAAATTTACTTCAGAACACTCAAATTATGGTTCTGACCGGTTGCTAGGGTGGACTGAATGAGATTTTAGATTATCTTATTGATACAGGCAAGTCCTTAAACCAAGGAGGCAAGCAAGAGCGTTCTAGAAAGTCCTGACTGTTACTGCAAATTAGTTTGAGGGTTAGAGCATTGAGTCATTTACTCAAAGCCGTTTTTCTCTCTGCTGCTTTGCAGCGTTCCAGAATACTTCTGATATAGGTAACATATTGCCTGCTTGCACTGTTGGTTGTACCGGTGGAGGATTAAAAATCTTGTATAAAGATCTTACTTTTCTACGTAAATGATGCTTAATAAAATAGTAAACTCCTGAACTATGTGGCTGTTTCCAGATGTTTTTTTCAAAAAAGTAGGTGCTTGCAAAAAATGTCTTCTTGTATCATGTGAAAATTTGGGAGTTGCTGCTTCAGAAAGCTTTGTAGGCATCGGAATAGCCCTGTTCTGAAATTTTACTTCACTTATTTCTTTTATGATCCATAGCTTTTCCTAAACATCTGTCCAGTTGTCTCATGTATCTTCATAATAAGCAGTGTATGTACTCTGCTTCCCTGTTTATTTTTTTTCTCCGTGCTCTGTGTTTTGTGCACCTTCTCACATTTGTCTGAAGTCATGCGGCAAGTCAGTGGCAGAGCCAGCAATGGAACCTGAGCTGTTTCCAGTCCTGTGCTCTAGCCACTGGGCAGCATCCCTCCCGTAGGTAATTTTCTGACATGCTGATGTTTGTATTTGGTATATACGGTGACTTTGCGAAGAGTGTCCGAACCAGCTACAAGTTGCAATGGAATAAATTCAGTTACTTTTCAAAATTTGATGCAGCAGCTCTTAGATGTGTGATAAAACTATAATTTGTTACAAAGGCATTATATTTGGGTTGCTGCCCTTTGTCTTGTGCTGCCAAAAATGTTAAAGCTAACGATGTTAAAAACTCCTGGAGAGTGCATTCTGCAATTGTATGTTTTCAGTTTACATTTTTCAAACTGTAAGAGATGCCACTGAAAAACCTTTATCATTGTTCTCGCAGGTAAAATACTTCTAGTTGGATCATGTAATGGTAGAAGTTTGCAAAATTCAAACTACTTTTAAATGCACCTGAATCATTAATGCCTAATGATATCCTGAAGGTGCAGAGTGATTACATTGACACAAAGGGATGTCGTGTATTCAGGGATGAAATTGGGCTTCAGAAACGTTGAGGTGGTGTTGTCAGGAGAGACAGAAATTTTAAAAATCTGAATATGCAAGGATATCAATTACCCAAATCCAATTAATTTTCAGTTACCTTTGTCGCTAGCATTGGCAAGTTTTGAGACTCGGACAAGATTGAACACACCGGCTGGAATTAGAATGAGGCAGACGAGAGTCTGAGAACAGTCTGAGAATATCTTGATAATCTGAAGTTGTGTTGCATTGTCTTGCTAGTCAAAGCACATGAAACTCCGTACACAACTTTGGGATTTGGGAACAGAAAGTAGTATGTAGTAACGATCCTGCTGAGTGCATGTGTAAAATAATTCCAGTGGGTAGTAGTTTCAAACACACACAGTTAAAAACTTTTTGTCCTTTTTTAGCTTCTTTCATGTTGTTTTATCTGAGCTGTTTATTGGGATTGTTCAGAGACTGTTCCAGCTGTTTGGTGTATTTGCCAGCTATTAATTTGTACCTAAACTTCAGAAGCAAAACAATATAGTAATATGGAAATAATCAGTTTGACCTATGTGTTCGGATTTTTTCCAATTGCAAGGAGAAACAGTAGAATCAGAAGAATGTGAAGCAGCAACAGAAAAAGCCAGCAGGAGCTCATTAAAGGATAATCTGACCTGTCCTATTGTCAGATTTGTTTGTTCGACAGCTTCTAGAATAGCATTGTAAGCAGTGCCTGAAAGCCAGGACTCGGTTTCAGGTGACTGGCCGAGTGGCATGTCCACAAGTGCATTAGGTGGTAATATTACTATCCAAAATGTGCATCAGACAATACAAAGTTTTGTATTGCTATTTCATATTGCAAATACTGTAGTAGCTTATTCTGCTTATCCTTTATTCAGTGCTTGACACTGTCATTTTGCTGACTGAATGGTTTAGAAAAAGGCTTTTTAAGGTACTTCACTTGTTCTTGCAGCATAGCCAAGCAATTTGGGAGAGAAGTCAGGTCTTACTGAGTAAGATACCTTCAGCTTGCAGGAAATCAAAGTGTGTATTAAGCCTGCAAAGAATAATGCAGCAATGGTTTTAAAATTTTGTTTTCTTCAGGACTTGGCGTGTGGCTGAAATCCACGTGCTATCAAGCTGTGTGGGGCTTACAGCTGAGAATCAGGAGGTCAGATTCAGGGAGAGAAAAGAACTTATGCTTTGAAGCTGCTGCACACAGCACAGCAGTATTTACAGGAGTTGTGGATAAATCGGTAATCTAACCAGGATTTTTGGAAGCAAAAAAAAAAAAGGCCAGAAACTTGAGTCCTCAGGAAATCTCTCATATAATTATTATTCAGACGTTCCTCTGTAGTGGCTTTGCCTAGAAGAGTTAAGTTGCAGTTCTAGGCACTGTGATAAAACAAACAGGGCTAGGGGCGGCCCTGATCTCGCTAGTGAGTTCTTGTTTGCCATCAAGGGTTCGTGTCCTTTCAAGCCAGGCAGCTAAACCACAGCTCCTTCTGTCAGCAAGTGTTGTAGCTGTCATTCCTGTCCTGGTTATCCGTCCGATCCCGGAGCACAGGAGTGTTTTATCTTGGCAACTGTATCCATCCTCAGGAAACCTCAAAAGTCACATATCTGCCTCGGGAAGTGACTTGCGTAGATCCAAGTTTCCTTCATTCCCCGGTATGATCCGGCATTTTTTAATAAGGGACATTTTCGTCGTTGCTGCCCACTGGCTGTTGTCCCTCAAAGCAGAGCAGGTTTTTGCTTGCTTGCAGTGGGTGACATAGCCACGACAAGCTTGTTGCTCCTGATGCCCCAGGTAGTAAGGAAAGTGCTTTTGTCCTGTGTGCTGCCTCGGTGTATTTGTAGCTCTTGAAAATTTCATGATGCCCAGTTACAAAAATATCCATAAACAGAGTTTAAAGAAGGAAAAGTACAGCTCGGTTGTTTTTGTTTGTTTGGGTTTTTAAAGCTATTCTTAGGATGGTATTGCATCGAATCCTCACTTAGCACCTGGGGCTCTCTCATGCTAAGAGGCAGGCTCTGCTCAAGAGAATTTGTTACAAGTGGCAGGTCGTGACTGAGAAGCCAAAAGTGATCATCTTTAAAGAGGAGTAACATAGTAATTTCCAGTATAAAACACACTATGGGAGAAGCACATTTCATAAGACCAAGATGGTATTAATTTGAAAAAAATAAGTAAATGTGTAGCTAATATCTATATCATTTTTCTTGAGCAGAGAACAGATAATTCTGGACAATTTGAAAATTAAACAATTTTCCAGGTCATGCCAAGTTTAGAGATGTCAGGAGAAAACTATACTTCCTGGACTCTTTTTAACTCTTACTCTTCTATACCTGGGAAGCAGCATGTGACTAAATCCATCTCCCTTTTCTTCTTTCTCTTGCTCTCTGGAATTGAACAGATCCTTTTTCTGCTACTGTTGATAGTGTTGATGATGCCATTCCAAACCTAAATCCTTTCCTTACAAAAACTAACGATGCTGCTCATCTGTCTGTGTCTTCTGATGTATCTACTTTCACCAGTAGGACACCCACACATGAAATGTTTGTTGGTAAAGTACCATTTTAAACTAATTTCCTGTTTCCTAAAAATTGTAACATTGTTTCAGTTTCTAAAGTATATATGTGGGGCCTTTCAGAAATGCAGAACTGGTTGGTTGGGGCCAATTTTTGGGCTGTGTTAGAACTTGATTTAGTAATTGTACCATGAAAATGGTGTTAAAGTCCTTTCTTGGCTACCAAGATGGGATTCTACCTGATGTAAAGGAACTTAGTTAAGGCAGTTGTTTGAGTGTGGTTTTACACAGTCTCTCATGCTTCGGAATATTAAGGTAAAATACTGCGTATGCCTGAGAATGAAAAGAAAATGCTACTGCTTTGTTCCTCAGGTTGAAATGTGCTTTTTAAACATAGGAGCTTAATATAACTCTCTCTTGGTAGCGGGCGTGTTTCCCTCAGTCCTGTTGGCGTGAACAAAGCTGGTAAAGCCCTGCACATTCTGGTGCATGGGCCACTCGCACTGTTTACCTGAGAGGCAATAAACTAATGACTCGCCTTTTGAAAACTGTTGGAATCCTACTTCGGAGGTGGTTCAGCATGGCTGTCAGATTAGAAGTCCTTCTCACTTTTCTGTTGGTGCAGCTATGTGATCATTTGATTACTTTTATAGCTTTCATAGACTAAAAATCAGTTAATTACATGCCAGTTTTGTTCTTAAGCAAAGTTAGGTTTAAAGACAATTGTGCTGCACCAGCCTGATTTTCTTTTGCTGGTTGAAACCCACTAGAAGTGATGATGGAAGAATCCAGGCTCTTACACAAAGAGATCTTTGGTATCTCTGATACTTGTTAACAAAGAGAAAACAAAGGGATCTCTTTAGATATCTTTAGAGATATTCATACCACCTACGCTTTGTCACCTTCGCTAAGCAGTTTCCCAGCTTGTGTTTGGTTAGTGGAGAGAGTAAGCAAGCAAGATCAAGCACAAGAACTCTTGCTGTGAACTTCTCTCCACAATTCCCGGGGAGGATTAGTTGGCTGAGGCAGTAGTATACAAGTACCTTACGCTGGTATTACTGCGTACTAATCTGGCCTATGCTTCTAATCGGTCTTTCCCACGCTTCCAGTAGTATTTGTATGGCTGCATGTGAATGTAGAATGATCATTTGAAATACAGCTGTGTTTAGTAGGGTGGTTCTTCAGACAGATGGGTTTCCTCTGTGTAGTTTGTTCTGCAGTCGTACAAAAAGTTGTGGCAGTGCAGGGCTGTGTGAACAAGGAGCCTGGTGGGTTTTTGTGACGCTCGCTGGTTTGTGTAGGATTCATCACACGACAGCCCCGAAGTCGCTGGAGATGGAGGGTGTTTGATATGCTGCATTCCCTCCCAGTGTCTCATACTCTACAAATATATCTAGAAGCAAAGGGCGAGCTCCTGACAAATTGATATGTGAAACGTACATGCAGTTTTCACTGTAGCACAAGCAAGCTGCTGCAATAATGTGAATTTAAAATGACTCTTTCTGGTTCTTTAGATCATTACAATCCATTTACTGAACTAAACCCCTTTATGGCAACCAAATATGAATCCACTATTGGGCTGTATCCTTATACTTCAGGTATAAGAAAAATGCCTTGAAGCTTTTACACTCCTTTCTTCCAAGGGTGTAAAACGTGGCATTTGCTTGGGGGGGGAGGGAGGGAAGTATTTGTCCTAATATAGCTGTAACTTTGAAACTGTGCTGTTCCCTTCTGTATTATAGATAATGTAAACTTGTTCCTTACTGTATGTCTGATGTGTAGTAATTTCATTCCATTGGTTCTGTGTTATTAGAGTATATGTGGGTTTATATACTGACCTGAAATTAAATTTGTGAATAGCAGATAAACAGTATATCTTGGTTCTCTTTCGGTAACTCTCCCTCTTCTCCTTTCCTGGCTCTCTCTCTTGTGTGATATGCCTTATCAGATTCTTTTTGTGGTCCTCAAGCTTACCCTAATGCTTCTCATTTCCGCAATGAGCCTTCTTCTGTAGCTGGTCTATTTGGAGGTAGGTAATGGGATGCAGCCTTACCACAGACACAGAAATTTGAATGTGTTGTGTGCCTAGAACTAGTAGGTATGTTATTGGCTACAGAAGTGCATCGTTACAGTGGCTCCAACTTTTATTCATGTGCTTGTGCTAGGTGTGTTGTCACAAATGGTATATATTTTTCCAGTTTGTGCTAAACTGAGGCTTATTTACTCTGAACATGAAATGAGTATCTCCCCATTTCAGGATCTCTTGTAGTTCACGTGTTGCTGCATACCACACAAGACTTGCATGTTATAAGTATCTTCTCATCTTACTCTGCCTCATTGCTTTTAAGATAAAGGGATTGGGATGTTCTTGCTGCTTATGGCGTTTTTGTTGGTATGTTACTCTTAAACAGTGCACTAAACTAGTACAAAGCTTTGCAACAGAACATGAGAAAGAGGTATCTGCTGCATTAAATTATTGGCTAGTCATTGCCCAGCTGCACACATCTGTATAGTAACCTGGTACTGACGCTGGTGCTGGAATACCATCCTGAGAGCTGCTAGAGGAGCTGTGGACTGGCAGATGGTGATCTACCTAAACCAGACTGAACAGGGCGTGTTAACATTGTTGCTATGCAAGGTTTAGAATACCTTCAGTGAACGGTTTGGGGAAGAGTTAGTTCGTAAAAGCACCATAAAGTAACATTTTGGTTTAGTGTCTTTGAATAGAAATTAGCTAGAGTAATTTAACAAAAGGTTAAATACTGCGTATGGCTCTGTTCCTTTGTTCCATGTCCAAAAAGCAGGATGGTTAGTTTCTGTCAAGTCTTGTTGGTTTATTCCCTCTAAGGAACTTCATTAAAAATACTGACCTTTGCACCTTTCAAAATATCCAGGTTAGACAAAATGCCCTGGGCTGGTGGTTGGTACCAGGAGTAGGATTTGATCTTTTTCAGAGCCTGATTCAAAGGAGTCCTATGTATTGTTTTGCCTTCTGGCTCGTCTCATCTCGTTAGCTTCATACAGCTTGGAATTTCCTAAAATGCGAGAGCAGGAAACTCAGCTTGTTTCATTTAAGGCCATTTCTAAAGAAAAATAAGAGCTATTGTAAGTCAAGGTTTCTGTTGGTACAGGCACGGTTTTAAGAGTTGCAGGACATCCCATCAAAGGAATTCCAATCAGAGTCTCTGAAATGGCTTGTTACAACTTGACGGTACACTTGTCATAAAGATACTCATTTTGGTTTGTTGTTTATTTACTCTCCATCTTTTCCCACATTACTGCTTCCCATGTTTTGCTGTATGCTGTTTTCTTTATTTGTTTTTAATAAGTACGTTGTTTAAATTTGTAGAGATGGATGCATTTGAGTTATGAGTTGTATGTTCCTTTAAGACAAACAGGAAGGAACACATAATCCAAATTTCCATTAAGCTTCTGTTCAAGGATAGCATCCTGTAGTTATTTAATTTTGTAGGTGAAATGTGACTTATTTCAGGAGGACACCCGTTCCCTGGCAGTGTTCAAGGCCAGGTTGGATGGAGCTCTGAGCAACCTGGTCTGGTGGAAGATGTCCCTGCTCATGGCAGGGGGGTTGGAACCAGATGATCTTTAAGGTCCCTTCCAACCCAAGCCATTCTATAAATCTGTGACAGTAAGATTGAAATGCCACAGCAAGCAAAATGAAATCCAAGAAGTAGTCTTGGTCAGTTTTTTCTGTTCACCACGATGTTTTACTGCTGAAGTACTTGTCATCCTTTTCTTTGATTTCTCTGTATCATCACAATTCCTGTTAGAAACAAGAAGAGCTGGTTTTCAAGATGGCATTGCAATTTTTTTAGTACTTTTCATATAAAGTAATAATTGCTTCTGTAATTGCCTGAATAGCAAGATGATGTACATGCATGCTTGTGTGCATGTTCATATATAACTTTAAAAAAATATAGTTTTAGAAATAAATCAATATTTAGTTCCATATTACTGAAGTATCAACACTGCCAAACATCATATGCAAGGCTTTGTACTGCAATGAATTTTCACAGTATTGAAAAAAATGTGCATCTGGAGAACTGTTTTAAAGCAGGAGACAAATACAGTGAGTTCAGACATGAACAGGAGTTGAAACTTGGCTTTAACCCCCTGTATCTTGCCATAATTACTAGAACCTTGCCTGCAAAACATGGTCGCCTGCAAAATGTGTGTCCAAAAATAACTAAGCACTATAAAAATTATTAGTATGAAATGTGTTTCATTGAAGACATTGCTAGTCAGGCACCTTGGGATGGTTTGGATCTTGATCCAGTTGTATCTAAGAACTGCTCACCTAATACAAAACACGGAGGGAATAATCTCCAGGCAGGTAGTCTCGAAACTGATTCTGTACCTAGCCAGCTTCTCTTCCAGGATAAGCATGGTGATTATTTCCTCAATAATTTTATTGTAAGTATTTGGTGAAAGAATAAGGAAGATGTGAATAGTTAATCCACAGATTTAGCGGCTGGGGGAGGAGTGTCTTTTATGGCCTGTCTCTCCAGTTTTTGAGACAAAACCATTTTTTTGAGGAGTAACTCCAAATAAACTTCCAATAAACTGCTTCCAGCTCTTTCTCTTACATGCTTCTCGGTGTCAGGGTGTAATCTGGACCTTTGAGGTATTCCTAGTCTTTCTGTGGTACTTAAATAATCTACATATTTATTTGGCTTGTCTTGCATAAAGACGACGGACTCATGCGAAATGCTGTATGAAAACATTCAACTTCTTTCTTTTTTCCCCCCAGGGTTCACTCCATCTCCTGTTGCTCAACCACAGCCATCAGCTGGCCTTAATGTTGACTTTGAGTCTGTGTTTGGAAACAAATCTTCCAGTGTTGTCCTAGATTCTGGTGGTAAGACACTCACTAAAATAGATGACATATGTCCTTTAAGTTTTTTTTATTCCTGAGGTATAAATCTCTTAATCTCTATTTACTCATACTGCTGTGACAGTGTTCTGGCTGAAGAAAAGAAAGCTGGCTTTAAAAGGTCACTAGCAGCATTCTTCGTCCAAATTTTCTTTGGTAATCAAATAAGTTTTCCTCAAATGCTATTTCTACATGCACCCTTCTGAAATGTTTAGATAGGTTTTCTTCACTTAAATAATTTGTGCATTAAAACTTTACACAGTGAACAGCTTTCATTTTTACACACTTCCCACTGAAATTAGGTCTGTGTTTGCAGAGTGTGGTCGGGAGAGGTAAAGTTGCATCTTCATTTTATATATCTGTGCAACACATTTGTGGCAATTCTTTGCCCACGTGTTACTCCTGATGTTAAGATTATTTCAGAAAATGATAAATTATCCAAACATACACAGTAAATTTGTATTGTAGTAATAGTACTCTTTCTGTTCTTTTGAGCATCTGGAAAGTAAATACTTTGGATCTTTTGACATTGGACTCTTGACGTTGGATTCTTTCTGGGCAAACCACAGATCTGTTAAAAGCAAATACAGAAGTGTTTTTGTAAGACTGAAGTACTCAAGATGCTTATTTTGTTTTACATTTTGATTGCTTTGCAGTCATTGTGAATCCATTCCATGTAAAACTGATGTTATGTAGGTTAAGCTGATCAAGTAAAATCTCCTTTCTGTAGTAAATATCTGCTTTACCAAGAGGCACAACGAGTTTTATCCTTCTTGTGTAGTGTAGCATCACTGTGTTAAATCAGTGTAGCCATGGTGTTGAATTTGCTGTCTGTTTAATTGAATGTCACGACGTTTGTGGGAGGCCTGTGATTCAAATCACCACTTTTGTGTTTATCATCCCAAGGCTTTGATGAATTAGGTGGTCTCCTAAAACCAACAGTGGCCTCTCAAAACCAGAGTCTTCCAGTTGCCAAAGTACCGCCTAACAAATTAGTGTCAGATGATCTGGATTCATCTTTAGCCAATCTTGTAGGCAGTAAGTATTGAACCACTAACATATAAATACTTGTTAAATTCTCTCAAACGGGTAGAATTTCAATAGTATCTCTTTCTACTTTGTGGCAGATTTGGGCATTGGAAATGGAACTACTAAAAAGTGAGTATGTTTAGTCAAAAGTCGAGCATTTTGATGTTGTTGATAGTACAATTTTCTGAAAGCAGAGGTTCAAGCCTGTGTGTAATAGCATAACGTGAACTTTCGGAGCACGTTTGGGATTGCGCTTTGTTTCGCGTATGAGCTATAGTGAGCTGTGAGAGCTGCTGGAAGGTGACTGTAGGCTGAGTGGTAGTGACAGCAGTAACAGCAGGCAAGATGTCCTCCTGTTTCCGATTCCTTTCAGGCTTTGTATATGTTTAGGAAATAAATTCATCAAAACTTTTTTTTTTGTAGTTGTAGGTAATCTTAGCACACCTTAGAAATACTTTGTGTGATCCGAGTGTGTGCAGAGCTGTATTAATGACTGTGAAACGACAGCCTCTGACTTGCGGTTGACCTTTAGAGAGGTGAATTTTGAAGCAGGCTGTGTTCTTGAATAGCGAACACCTGCTCTAGCAGCAAAGTTGGGCATGTGATTAGCAAATTTCAGGCTGATTGGGCCCATCTGTGCCAACTCTGAAATCATTCACTAATCTAGTATGTGTTTGCTCCCAACTAAACTGTCTTGACCCACGGAAAGCCAGCTAGACTAGACTAACTTACCTCTGCTGGGGAGCTGGACTGAGATCAGGTAAAGCTGAGGTGGCTCGTGTTGAACATCTCGCCTTACTCTTCGTAGCCAAAACAAGCTGTCATGAGACCTTTTATCAACTCCTTTGCTAAATGAGTTTCTTCACTAACAGAAGAAGCCACATTTCCAAGAGGACACATTGTTTACTTGAGGGAGTTTGTAAGAAAATCCAATGTTTTCTAACAGTTCTTAAAAAAATTTATTTGAAGTGATGTAAACTGGACTCAGCCAGGTGAAAAGAAACTAACAGGTGGTTCCAACTGGCAACCCAAGATTGCACCTACAACTGCGTGGAATGCTCCAACGTTGGTAAGCGAATACTCATTTTGAAATAGCAACTTCCCTGCAACTGAGAGATGCATGCTGATCTATAACAGAGAAATCTGAAAGTGGCCTGTAGGCCACTACAGTTGCAGTGAAAGGGTAGCAGAAGACTGAAGTGCTCACTCTGAGATGTGCAGTGCTTCGATTTGTTTTTCTTAGCTGTGCAGTTCTAGTAAATAGTTTGTGATGTGACATGTGCGGGTTTAGCGTAAACTTCAGTAGTGTTTTCCCAGCAGCTCTGGTCTCTCTTGTGGCAAGATAGCAGCCTTCGGGTTTCACTCGGCTGATCTCAAGATAGCAGCCTTCGCGTTTCACTGGGCTGACATAAAACTGAATTCGGGAGGGGGGGCAGGGGGGGCACTTTGCAGTCTAGAAAGTAGAAGTGTGAAAAATGTGTTGTTTGGGTGCACTGATACCTCGAGTATGGATATGTTAGAACTCGGTCCCCGCTGGGGGTGAGAAGAGCCCGAGGAGTTAATGCTCTTGATATTTGTAGAGGTGTCTGTGCAGTCATGTGGGCCGTAGCTTTCTTAATGTAACTGCGGCTTTCCTGGCCCAGTGTGCGCAGTTGCTTTTGATGCGTGTCAGTTTTGGTGATGGACTTCATGGTGTCTGTTGTGGCAGGGGGGATGGGCAAGGATTGGGGGGCAGCACGTAGAGCGAGGGCTCTTAATCACATGTCAAAAAAGAAAAGAAGAGTTTACATGAGTAGTTTTCACAATGGTAACAGAGCATTTCTGCATGTGAATCCTACTTGCCCTTTCACCACCCACCTGGAGAACCGTACGTGGACAGAGCAGGTAACAAACCGCCCCCGAGGATTTACTGCATCTGACTCTGTAACTGATGGGGGGGAGGTTGACTCCGCAGTGTAACAATACAACGCTGTGGATTGGGAGAGAGCAATCTTGTCTCCCTGGATCCACCACCTCTTCCCTACTGGGTGTCCCCTACCAACTCACACCACTTACTATGTAGGGAGAAATGTCTGTGGGCATTCCCGGAGGGTGTGTAGGTGTTGAAGAAACCGTAGCTACTCATTGCTTTAATGACTAGTGGTTTGAGTTCACTCGTGTGCTTGAATCTGTTTAATAACTCATGTCTTGTATATACATCTTCTTGTGATCAGTCATTACGTTTAACAGCTTTTATTATTTAGAGATACTGCTGAGACACTTCTCTTCCTGTGAAACTGTTCCATTAACGTAAAAATCCTGAAACAGAAATGATCAAGGGGGGGAAAAGAAGTTTGTTTTCCTCTGCTGGTCTATTTATTGTGGAGTTGCTGCTGCTTGCTACATAAATATGCTTTTGAAAATAAGGCTTTCTTGTCTTTGGAAAAAAGGCATATACCAAATAAATGGACTATGCAAAACAGCTGCAAACCTAATAACAGTGACAGTATCACAGGTGTACGTTGTCCCAGTAAATGACTTGAATTACAAGAATGTGTTGGGATAAACATTTAATGTATTTGTGAACTAAAATGCTATCTGTGTATATTCCGTTGTGTAAGTATTTGCTTCTAATCCAGTGTTATTGCATTATGTAATTGTTCTCCCTGGGAAATACAGAATGGCATGCATTTTCCACAATACGTAAGTGAAACAACCCACAGCCTTTTTGCAATCAACTGGCATGCTGATATTAACCACTGCTGTTGCAGAATCTCATAACCTTCTTGCTATTTACACATTTCTCATTTTTAAAATCTTTGGTGTGCCAAAAATTGAGCTTTTCCTAGCATACACAAACTTCATAGGTGGTCTGCAGGCTCTTGACTCGAATGATGGCATGGGAAATATCGAGATTATTTTTCCTTGCTTTAAACTGTACCATTTGCTGCCAGAGAGCTGGGGTGTGTGTCTGTGCTGCCTTTAATGCACTTGGTGAATTTTGAATGAAGATAAAATTGTTTGTGTTTGAATAACTGCATGAAACCTCACGGGCTTCTGTTATACTTGGCACTTTGTCAAAATTTATGGTAGATTTATTTTATTTTTATTCTAATGGGGAGAGACCAATATGTCACTAATGCTCAGATGAAAAAAGAAGATCCATGCTGACAGTTTACAAAGGGCAAGCGATAACCTGTGCTTGCTGTCTGAGGAATGCAGTCTTTCATTTCAAAGGATGTTTTTTCTTTGTCACCAATGATATTGGTCTTTCCCTGTGTTCTGTTTTTATTGCAGGGTAACTCTGTAACTAAAGGATGGTAGGTCCATACTTGAGCACTCAAAAATAAATTTAGTCAGCATGTTTGTGTGTGTGTAGGTGGGGATACACAAGCAAAACAAAAAAATAAGTGATTTTTAGGATAGCTTTGCCAGTTGTGTGCAATATGTGCATAGGACTCAGCCTAGATAAGTCATGATGGGAGAAATCCATTCTGATGGCAGTTGAAATGCCAGCGACACTGGCTACTCCCTGTGCAGAGGCAGCTGATATCTTAGAACTGAGTCAGAAGCAGCTTTGCTGATGTCCTATTCGTGTTGTTACAATTTATCTGCTTTAATTAATGCAGTAATATTAATACTTTGTCACTTCCCTCTTTTCTGTATCAGTAATCTCTGTGCACCAAGAAATACATGTGGTCTTTGTCTTGTCGTGAATAATAATCCCCTAGCGATAGCATGAAAACTAGATGGGTTTTTTTTTGGAGGAGTGACTAACAGGAAGTGGAGTGGATAAACAGCAAATTGTCTGAATATTTATAAGCACCAATTTATAGTTTGAAAAAACCCAACTTTTTTTTTGTCCTTGTAAGAGTTAATACTAGTTTAGAAAGGAGATCATGAAACTGTAGAACAAAGAATATGGTAAGGATATGAAGAACTGTCTTTAATGTATTTTTCTTTCTAAGAGTTATCAGATGGTTTTTTAGGTAGATGTTGCCAAGTTGTTTACAGAATGTAGCTTCACCCCAGCAGGTTTTGTCTGTTGACAGCAATCTTACTGTAACTTCATACCAGTTAACTCAGGTTAAGGGTAACAAACCTATCTGGAGAGGACTAAGAGGACTTTTGATCTGTTCAAATTCTCTGTGCCAAGTGGGTGAGAGAGAGGGAATGCAAGCTGAATATTCATGTTAAAGCATGTTAAAGCATGGTAGGAGAACCCCCATAGCGTGTACATCCTGGCTAAAGAGAAGAGAATTCCTGTAATGTCAGTAGAAGCAATGGTAATTTGGTCTTTGAGTCTTTAGAAATTCTCTCTTAAGACTCCTTGTGCACCATTACTAACTTTGAAATATAAGTATGTACTTCATGGGATTAAAAAAATGCTTCTGCTTCCTGGGTTTTCTCTCCCAGACTTCCGCCTCACACGGCATTCTTTAAACAGGATGCTGAGAGGAATGGTAGCCTGCAATTTTAGTGTAATCAGCTAGAATCCCAGCAGGTTAAAAGCAGATACGTAACTATAGATTTGCCAAGATCACCTAGAAACTTCAGCTTAGGCATCATATTCCATCTGAAATAATTTGGATACACTTATACACAAGACTGCAAAACCTGTTGATTCTGTGCTGTGTTGATAATAAGCTCAGTGCTGCAGCTGACCCTTAGAAAGCGATGTCGTACCAGTGTGCAGCTGGTCTCTTCTCCTCTCAGTTCACCTCTGTTTCTCGCCCCAGGCGCCGCCGGTAATGGCATACCCTGCCACCACGCCGACAGGAATGATGGGCTACGGGATGGTGAGTGGAACTGCCGCGACTCGCAGCGCTCGGGGGCTGGGGGCCGTTTGCTCACTTGCGCTTTGATAGCGTTTGTTTTTCTGAACTGTTTTACTGAAGACTGAATTTCAGCTCCTGTTGGTTTATTCTTCACCAGATCATGAAGTCTTGGTTTTCTGAACTACTTCAGTGGGTTTTCTCTGAAATTAAGTCTGCTCTTTCTTACCTCACTTAGTTTTTCATAAACTGTTTAAGATTAAGACAGTGTCTGTTCTTGGTGGGCTTTATTGGTGTAGAAATAAGTGTAACATAGAAATAACTGTATCCTGTGAGTATAGGTAGCTACATTCATGACAGGAATATTTTATCGGTGAAGTTTCCTAAATACTTGCTCCCAACCTCAGCAAAAGGTGTCTGTAATCATAGAATCATTAAGGTTGGAAAAGACCTCTAAGATCATGAAGTCCAGCTGTCACCCCAACACCACCATGCCTGCTAAACCATGTCCTGAAGTGCCAGATCTGCACTTTTTTTGAACACCAAATGATTGATGCTACAAAACTGCAAGCTTGTGACACTGCCTGACACTGCCATGCGTTGTGGTGTCTGTTGAGAATTTAAGCTTAGTGACGCACCAGTACTGGAAGGCTTTTGACATAAACCCAACCTTGCTGCTTGTTGCTCTGAAAAGATGTCAATTTTTTGTTCTTATCTCAAATTTTAAAATATTTCTGAAAGGCTATGCCTTAACTCCTCCTTATTAGTATGGTTTTTATGTAGCACAGCTTTGCTAGGCAAATAAAAGGGAGAGAGAACTTCCTTGGAACTTAATCTGTTAAATGGTTCACAGATCAGTGTAATAAAATAAGCTAAAAGTTTCATCATGTAATCAAATGAGATTAATGATAATTTGTATATGTTCAATAAGTGAACTGCAAAAGCATCCAGCTGCGTTCTTGAGGGCCTTTTGAGAGAGTATCACATTCCCCATTATCCATCCATGAACTCCTGTAGTATGTGCTGTGCAAAGTCTTTGTGGTTGAACTGCCTTTAGTGTTGATTCAAACTTGATCTACACAGCTTTGCAGTGGTTGTGCTGAAAGCCTTTCCTTAGTTTGATTCAGCAGCCGGGGAAGGTGACGTGTTCAGTGTATAGGAAGGAATCTTGCATGTTTCGTAAAGCAGCTTTCATCGTGGGGTTTAAATGCCGATGGCAAGTGGGAACTGGCATTAATAGGCGCCGTAGCTTCGTTATCCTGAGGGGTTGTTACTTGTTCAAGAGCATGCAGTGTCTGAGCAGGTGGGTGAGACGGGCTGTTATGGAGTGACCAGCAGGCTGTGTAACATGTCATGAGAACTGTCCTGGCTCACTCACTTTGCTCGTGACATTTACTGCTAGGAATCGCTGAAATGTTGACCCATTTTACAACCTTTGTGTCTGATTTTTCCTAAAAGCAGTAGTAGGTACCATTGTTTTGAGCACGGCTGTTTCTCGGTGGCAGTCGAGTACCAGGCTTCTCCCTTGGTGAGGGCATACTGGGACAGGTAGTTTCGGTGGTACCTCAGCATTCCCTGGCTGCTTCATCATCCCAGCGATTATTTTGAACTTACTTTTTTGTAGGGTGTTTTCATCAGGGTCGGTTTCTTGCGTGGGTTCACCATGTGATTGCCCAAACAGCTGGCTGGCGTGATAGGAGTACCACCAGGAGCAGTCAAGGAGAAGCTGCCTGGGACAGGGATTGCTTCGGTTCCTGAAGTGCCAGATCTGCACTTTTTTTGAACACCAAATGATTGATGCTACAAAACTGCAAGCTTGTGACACTGCCTGACCTAAGGCATGGTTCTAAGACCATTAGGATATGCTAAACTCTTAATTTGGCTCAGCCCAGAGTGTCAGTAACACTTTAGACTTCAACTGCATAATGACTTAGCATTGATTGTCCATACAGGGCTCTGAGCAACCTGATCTAGTTAGTGGTGTCCCTGCTCGCTGCGGGGGGGTTGGACTAGATGACCTCTAGGGGTCCCTTCCGACCCAAAACTTTCTATGATTCTATGATAGTTCTCCATTTTCAATTTTTCTTCAACTCTCAGCTTTGCGTTGGTATCTGTAAAACTGTTCTTGTGCTTTTGAGGGTAGACAGGGAAGCGCTGTCAGACCTCAGTTTGGGGAGCAAGAGGACGAGGACAAATGCTTGTGCTTAAACAAGTGTTGCAGTGTTTCAGATCTTCGCAATAAGACATTAAATGGGCTCAGTTGTTACTGAGAGTATTCCTTGAAAAGGCTCTAATGGTCCTTTCCAGTAATCTTTATTTACAGAATATTGTAGAAAGATCTTATATGATTGCGTATATCAAATATGAGCAAGATTCTTCACCTGTTTACCATTTTCCTTTCTCTCCTTAAATACTTGCAATGTGTTAATGCTGTGTGTGACTTGATGTTGTCTGGATTTTTTTAGCCGTCACAGATGGGAGGCATACCAGTAATGACACAGCCAACTTTAATATACAGTCAGCCAGTCATGAGACCACCAAACCCTTTCGGCCCTGTACCAGGAGCACAGGTGCGTACATTCGACATCATTGGTGCTAGGAACAAATCACAGCTGGGTCAGTTCCTTTAAAAGCATATTGGTATCTTCTTGTGTTGGACAAGTGTGGTGCACAAGCCCAGGACTTGATGTCAGGGTTGCTTCCTAGGTTTTTATGTTGAGGTTGGCGGCACCAAAGCTCATTCTACAGAGAAGAGGGTAGCGCGTGAAGGCATCGTTTTTCAGGGGATGTGGCTGAGGTGAAAGGATAAGAACAGCTCGTGGCTGTGCTGTTTGCTGCAGACAGGCTTCTTCCCAGCGTTTGTGTTCTCTGCTGCTTTACCTCTACGTGTGGCTTTGAGATTGCGCTCTTACAGCTTTCTCCGAAGGATATGTGGTGCTGTTCTTAGACCTGTTACATGTCCAAGTGTTAGATTATAATGTGACCAAGTCTGGCAGTATCTGTCAAGTTTTTTTTGAGTGCTTAATGACAGCATTTTGCAGGGGATGAACAAGGTGTGTGTAGCCTTTGAAGTCTATTAATGCTGTAGTTTAGGTTATATATAGAAGGTAATAGATGGGTTTGAAAAGAACATGATACTAAATGTGGTGAAACTTCAGCCCAACACCTGGCTGTTCGTACTGACCCCTCTCGGTGGGAGGCACGTGGCCCGTTCATGTAGCTTTAACTATTGTGTTCTCCAAAGGTCTTCGTACTCCTCCACGGTTTTGCAGCAGGCAGCATTTACAGCACAGGGTAGATATTCACTAGCTACGCTGATCTATCTGGCCTTTCCCTGTCACGTTCAATGGAGCGTTCCTTAAACTGCCTGCTTTTCTGCTTCTCGTGATGTGTCGTGTACAGACTTGCTACCTAATGTACCGGAGTAGAAGAGCGTGCTGCGGGGTTACTGACGAACACCGAGAACAACGGACTGCATCGACACTGGCGTTGTACATACCTCGTATTGTTTGTTTGCAGACTTCTGTCACTGGGAAGTTTCCATCTGAAGTCACTTTTTTAACCCAATAGCCACCCGAAGATAGCTTTTTGCAGTAGGAAAAAAAAGAAAATAAAAGAAAAACAGGGAGGTGGAGGGATGGACAACCTTGAACCTCTTCATACTGTTTTCAGAAAATACTGAGATCATGAAGATTTTGGTGTGTTTGTGAAACAAAAGCAGTGTGGTTTTACTTCCTAGTCAAACATTTCTTTGTCGAAGTTGACATGGTACATCATGACTCTATTAAAAAAATGTAATATATTGGGACTGTATTTTGATCTTACTGTAATGAGCTCTGTCTTTATAGGTGACTGCTTAAAAACATGCATGGATAAATTCACTTAAGGGTCTTTTTGGGACTAGAGTGTGGAGGGAAACTAATTCGGCTGTAGATTGGAAAAGAGCCATAAATGTTTCTCCAATGCCTGAATCTGATCCTTTAGCAGGAGAGGCTATGCTGTGTGCTGGCAGTGGGCAGGACGTCCATTTTCTATGCTAAAACAGACAGTTTTAAATTATTTCTTTTAAAAAGTTTTATCTGGAAGGGACGCTGTTAGATTTCCTTAGCTAGAAACACAGTTTTCAACTGACTTTCTTTTGAACTTCTGAGAGCTGCTTTGCACATTCACTGTTGCTTAAGACAAGTGACTCAGTATCTTTCACGTGAGTTTGATCCTATTTCAAGGGGGAAGATGTGTTTGACACTTCTTAAATAGAGAACAAGTTAAAGGATTCTCCAGGATAAGAGGGGGTTTTACTACAGTTCCTAAAACGTCAATTTTGAAAAGTCCCCCAAAAAATCTGCGTAGCTGCCTGATTCAGTTACAAACAGGTAGGTAGGTCTGAGTAGCTCGGCGAGCCTCTCTGCTCCATTTGACACTGCAGGGCTGGGTCTAGGTTGAATCCTAGCTGGCTGTCACAACAGGAGCAAGAGGAATTAGTCACAACTGAGGTGTGTAGAGCTGTGTTTATTGTGCTTCTCTGACAACAGGTTTGGCTCCTGTGAGAATTAATTTGATGGAAAACATGCTTTCTGAATTGGTGCTTTGCTGTGTGGCGGGGAAGGGTTTTCCCACAGACACATGGTCTGCATTGCTTGTAGGCGTCATTTTCAGAAGGCTGGCATCAATAAAGCAACTTCAGTGGAACAAAGGCTGCCTGCGAGAGCTGCTGCCCCGTACGCCGCAGAGATGGCACTCGCTAACGTACAGCCATGGAGGGGAGTTACAACATGATTACACTCAATTTACTGCATGCTTAGTCTTGAGGTTCTTCTGAGAGCGTATTTGTCTGTTTAGGTTTAGTTAATACTCCTGTTGTGCCAGAAATAGGAGAATAAAGACATAAAAATGTGTGTTCTTGGGGTAAGTAAATCTTAATGAATGAATAAAGGTTATCTGAAAGGCGCACAGTCCACACTGCCCTCATCCCGCGTGGATCCCTCGAAACACCGCTACTCTAATACAGGTTTTATCCAGTGTCATCACTGCCAAAAAGTAAATTGGTTTTCATATTGGTTGCTGTCTGCAGTAAAGAAACTTGACGGTGTTAAAAGCACAATGACAGATACAAAGTTGTTGCCAGAAAATTATATTGCCAAGTTGTAGTGTGTTGGGAACTCCTCCTGCTGTGTGCACAGCCTGGTAAGACAGGCATCCCAGTGCTGTCCAGTTTCTTTATAACTTAAACTGGTATTGCTGACTTGATACTCTGAAGGATTTGTCTTTGTAAATATACTTTTTCTATGTCTAGACAAACCTATTTTGCCTCTCTCAAGTGTTGTTTACATGCATGCAACTTTACTTCTAATTGTTGCTATCAAAAGCAAGAGTAGTTTGGGTTTTTTAAGGGCAAAATAATTTGAAACTGTTGAGAAAGAGACTAGAGCAGTTGCTTCTTTGACAGTCTAGGTGCAGAAGATATTCGTAGTTTTAAAAGAAACTGGTATGTGCCTTTATGTCTTTGAACTCATAGAATCGTAGAGTGCTTTGGGTTGGAAGGAACCTTTTGGAGGTCATCTAGCCCAGCTCCCCTGTGGCGAGCAGGGACATCTTGAATTAGGGTCAGTATTTCCAGCTTGAGGAAGAAAATAATTCTCGTCATGATAAAATAGCCGGCTTCCCTCACTGCAGAATATTGTATCGTGCGCCCAGCAGAGTGAGAATGGCCGGCGCTGTGTAATTAAATTGTAGCCAGCGAAGGGGAGAGCGTGTGTGTGAGGGAGGGACAGGCGGAGTCGGTGGTCCCAGCGAGGCTGAAGAGCAGCCGGAGTCATGGCAGGCGTGAGGCAGAGTGGCAAACGCAGAGGGTTTCTGACAGGCCAGCTCTGACGTCCAGTTGACCGGGGTATAAACAACACATGGTAAGACCTGGGCGTCGTCACGCACAACAGCAGTGCTTGGATGCTCACCACCACCAAAACCATTGCCGTGTCGGCTCGTGTAAAACGGTACGACACCGACAGATCAGTGACGTGCCTGTAAGCGCTAACGTGTTCTGGTCTGATGGGCCCCAAAGGACGTAGCCTGAGGAGGAGAAGCAGCTGGGTAGTGAAAATTTTTTAAATGGTATACAGAAATTACTTGGCCTGCTGCCAGGATCCGTGTGGTGTGTAATGCTGAATTGTACAGCGGAGGTCATAGGAGTGATCGGGGGGGGAGGGGAGATGTTTTTTGGTTTGGTGGGGTTTTTCGAAGCTGTAAGAACAGGGTATGAAGTTCAGGACAGACATGCCATAAAGTAGACTTTACAGGTGCTCCTTTTGGCACATCAGTTCTAAAATAGATGCTAAAGCAGCTTGGCAGACTTGTTTAATGAGAAACCACTCTAGCTCACAATGGTAATTGGTATGACACTCGCCTGTGGATGGGTTCTTCGGTGTTACTGTGACTCTGGGGAGTTGTTGTCGTCCTTGGAAGCAGTGAGAAGTGCTCTCCCCTTACTGCTGTTGGAGGTGAGCCTAAGCTTTGGGCCTGCTGCCGCACAGTACGCTGCGTTTCATATCGCACCAGCGCCGGGCAGTAAGGAGGCCAAATCCACAGCTCTGGGCAGGGCAGCGCTGGAGAAACTGGTGGCCAGTGCCGCTGTTTCAAATGCTTCTTACAAGCTGCCGAGGTAGGTTCTGGTTTCAGATATGTTTATAAGTGGTATTGTGGATAGATGCAATGCAGGAAACGGTCTAACTGTACTTTGCACATTTTTTTTAGGCCTCCTTTTTAATAATTAGAGGAATTACATTAAAATATGTATTTACTGAAAGGTGCTATGCCTTGCCTGAATCTGGCTGTGGCATCTAGGAAGTAGCATTGTTGAGTTCTTTTTCCCGGTATTTAACCTGAACAGGTTTCCTGAAATGGCACCTCTGATTCTGGTTAGACCCCGAGGTTGCACAAACGACAGCTCTAAACCCACCAGTCTTCCACAGTGCTTTCAAACTGGGACATTACTTTGGACTTGATACCAATTGGAGATTTGCCAGCTCGATTTAACAGGACTCTTAATGTGCGACTTCAAGCCGTTTGTCCGTGAAGAGGAAGAATGTCTCGCGAAACCCCGTCGCAGCGGGCAGGACTTGCTGAAGTTAGGGCTCTGCTGGGCTTCATCCTTAGTCTGGCTCAAATCCTGGAGAGCGGCAGGGGGTGGGGGGCTGCGGCTTTCCAAAGGGAAGAACCGAGTTTACAAGGGGAACTTCTGACATCCTGAAGCTGCTTCTCAAGCACTTCCCATTCTGTCTCATGACTCTTCCATGATCTGTTTATGGGGACTGGGTCCGAGTGCCCCTTTGGGAGTGGGCTTTCGGGAGGGAGATAAAGATTCCAGCACGGATAGACAGTATTGATCCTGAAAGAACTTGCCTCCCTGTGGTTTCTGAGAGAGACATTAATGGGAAAAATTTCAATTTGCAATGGCAATATTTGCACTCTGGGCACTTGTGCAAGCAGTTCCCATAAGCACGTTCCCTGTCATGCGTGGCTTGGCAGGCATTCCGGTATTTCCAGAGGAAACTTGTTGTCTTACAAAGTCTTTTGCAGTGGACATGAAGTGCAAGTATGCACTGGCCGTTAGTGACTCGATTACGACTAAACTGTTAAAGTGATGGAATCTGAACTGGAGAAAGCTGACTTTTATTTGTAAGTGCAAAACCATGCAAGTTCTACAAAGGAGGAGGACAAATAGAATTTAATAAAGCACCATTTGTAACTGGGAAAGCACTAACCTAGAAGGAAAATGGCTAAAACCCATGAATCAACAGAGAGACACTCCTGCAATTACAGCCTGCAGATTACTGGTGCCTTCCAGCAGCGGCAGCTGGAAGGCCGGTATTGGCTCCTTGTAGATTGTGCTTTACACGGCTGAATTTGGGGTGTGGTGCTTTAAATACGTGGCTGTAGGACGTGATTTTTGTTAGTGTATAAACTGTCGGTCTCAGGCTTCACGTCTCACCTAAAACGACAGAGGCTGACAGACTTGCATCTATTTTTTTTTTTCTACCCCCAGAATATATCCCCACGTTCTCTCCTTCTAGCCCCCAAACTGAGCAATAGCCATTACCTGCTCTCCAGCCTCTTTATGCACATCCTGCTTGGAGAGGAGAAGATGCTGAGAGCTGTTCCTTCTGGAGGAGGCGTCTGGAAAGCTCCCAGACCCCCGGCCCCATCGCTCCCCACCAGTACATAGTTTTGCCAGTAAAGCGGGGAGAGTGCTAACGTGTTTCACAGGAGTGTCAGGCTTTGTTTTGTATCTTCTTTCAAAGAAAGCTGCTGTGAAAGCACGAGGTTATCCGCTTATTTGGCAAAAGTCAGTTTCCTTTCTGGAGGGTCATGTCCAGCTTGTTTCTGCATTACACCAACCATTGAAGAGGCTTCCTGTCTTCCATATGACCAAACACCTTGTTTTAATAGTTGATTTCTGCCAAGTTTGCCTCTTAACCTCCCCTTGTCCTTTCATTACACGTTCAGCTTTCATATTCTGTCATTCTGAGACCTTTTTTTCTTTTTCTTTCCCTTTCTCTGTCGTCTTTCCTACTAGCTGTCTGCAGCATCCAGCCCTTCCAGTCAGAGTCCTCACAGAGCCTCAGGAAAGGATCCCTTTGCAGAGCTCTCTCTCCAGGATTTCTTGTAGAACAACTTAGGTATTGTCCGTTATTCTGGGGAGATGCTGGTTTTTGTGATACAAAACTAAAGTTCTAATTCAGGTTTTATGAATGTGACTAGAACTGTTTCTGACGAAAATAAACAAGTCATGTTGAGTTGGAAGCATTGTGGAAGTGACTTGGAAACCTGGTGTACCTGACTGCAGCAGTTTAAAGGCCCAGTCAAGTGGTTTTGCTTCAGTTCATTGGAAATCAAGTTTGACTGTTCCTTTCTGAACTCCAGGAGCCAGCACACGGGGTACTTTGCTAGGACCTGGCATTTACCATTTCATCAGGAAAATGTTCAGGGATCGTGGTTAGCAGCAAACGCCTGCTGCTGGCGTCCGGCTCGTCCCCTTCACCACATTGCTTGACCTCAGAGTTCACGTCATGCAGGAGGCGCGAGGGTTGCATTTGGGTACAGATGTGCACTGGAGCTGTTCTGTCTTTTTTTATCAGTTAGGGGCAGGTGGGAATTAAAAAACATTAAAAAAATTCAAGAATACATAGGGTAAAGAAAGAGTAGACTTCATTGCACACAGCATCAGCTTTTCTTTGGGCAGTTCTTCTGGTTCAGCGTGAAAAGTGACCTGGAGTTCTCCTCATAATGATGTTGATGACGATACTGCAGGGATAAGTAGGGGTTTTTTGTTGTTGGACAAACCAGCTTAATGCAAAGAGGTGTTCCTGTGGCTGGTGTAGTTGGTAGAACATCCTGATGGCTTTTGGTGGTTTTCTGGCCCTGATCTTGGAAAATTTTTATTTCTGTTCGCAACTTCAGATCTTGGGGTAGCTTGGGCATTTGAAGAATGGAAAATTTTGAAGAAACAGGTTTGTAGTGAAGTCCTACTTCTTATGGATGTTAACACGAAGGTTTTTAATCTTTCCAGATTCAGTTTATGTAACTGTTTTAGATGGAAGAGCAAGGAACATTTTCAAAAAGATGTGCTCACCAGTAAATCCCCACTTCCAGGAAAAACTGAACTTCAGTCTCTCAAACTCTCCTCTTCCGTTAAGTGATGCAGTGAAGTGATGAAGACCAATGAAGGAAGCCGGGACAGCTCCGTAAGCAAACATCAATATACAAGGCAAAGCCAAGAATTGCCATGAATTAAGACTAAGATCTATTTTTTTTTTTGTCCTGGTGACTAACTTGTCGATACTTTCAGCTTCTAATAATATCCGTAATCGGTAACATACGAAGAGAAGCCTTTACTCTGGAGATTGAGCTTGGTGTTTGGAAATGCTGTCTGGAATGGAGATGTGTCCTTTACCGTAACTCGAAACACGACTTTGGGCAGGGGAGGGTCAAATCCTAACTCTTAATTCTGCAGTTACCTTTTCTTCAGTCCTCACAAATGTAGGCACAGCAGTAATGGAAATTAACTTTTTTTAAAAATTATATATTCAGTTTGCAGTAGACATTCCTTATGTATTATTGTTTGTATTTATTTATGATTATCAATTTAACATTAATATTGTATCAAAAAAACTCCTTATGAAAATGAGTATGGGTGTATACAGTATGTCTGATTTTTATCCACGAAGAATGAATCTGATTCAGAATGCTTTTCAGCTGACATACAGAGCACTAAATATTTTAAAGGTCTGAATCTAATGAATTCTCAGTATATATGGGAATTGGGGGAAGAGCTGTAAAATGCATTAATCCTTGTAGTCAATTCTGTGCCTAGGATTTTGCAAGGGAACAGTTAACTGACTAGAAGAAGCACTACATTTTTAATTCAGCATTAGTGCGTTGGGAAGGAACTTTCTTGCTTTGTGCTTGGCATGTCATTATTTTTACATTGGACATTATAAGGCCTTTCCAAAATGAATGTGAGGAATTGCTTTCACTTGAAGACTTTCCTTCTTTTCTGTAAAATAAAAAAAACAAAACCAAAATTGAGGTGGTGTGTGTTTGGGGGGGGAAAGGGGGAAGCCTTTTCATTTGGCTAGTGCCATGTTTATGATCCTGTACCTTTTGCAATTCAAAAAGGGGAAGTAGCTTCCTTACATACGTCTGGTGGGTATTTAGTTCACGACGAATTAAAGTAGCGCTGTTGATCGGTGCTTTGTGTAAATACATCATAACTTCTGTGGGGAGCGGGGCCTTCGGAAGGATAGTCACTGATCTGAAAGCAATTCTGGACATGAATTCAGCATACTTGCTGCATTGTCTCTGCAGATTCTATTTTTGTTCAAAATATTAAAATGTATGTTAGCAAAAATGGGTGGATTTTCAAATAAAATGCAGCTTCCACAGAACTTTTGTTACGGTATGAAAGTCTGAGGTGCTTCTTTTCTTTTTGCTGCTTAAAATGTGCACTGATAATTGCTTTGTTTACTTAATAAAATACCAAATGTATTTCCTATGTGCAGATTATATTACAGGAACGCGCAGCGCTGTGACTCTGAGAGTGATGTGACCTAGACCGCCTCTTCCCCCTGGTGCTGTGGTAGACGGCCGGAGTTCCACTGTCATGAGTTGTCTTGTTAAGAGCTGGATTCCTTAATATGATATTTCTTCTGGTTTTTCATAATTTCCATGGCAATAAACTTGTACTGTTTGTAACTGAGCAAGGAGTATAAATATGCCAAAATAACTATTTTGGCATCTTCTCTAATCTTCCAGTGGAAGGTGACGCTGGTGAAGCTTTCAACAGCTTGCTCAGACTGTCGTCTGCATTAGGCGCTCATTCGCATCAGGGGGAGTTGTGGTAGAAATGGAAGTTCCCTCCTGTCACTGCCTGAGCCTTGTCCTGGAGGATGTACATTGTAAAATTATCTGGTCAGATCAGCAGATTTAAAATTTCTTTCTAAAAGCGTGAATAAAAAAACCCTGAACCGTTACTTTTGGAGTATATAATGCACGTGCCCAGGCCTGGGGAGTTTCATGTACAGGTTACTTCAGTCTTCACCTTCCTCTGAGGCGTTCGATGTGGGCCTGCACCACCCGACAGTGACTTCTGTTTGTTTTTTCCTTCTACTCAGAGTATCAAAAATGTGAATTGTCTGAATTGGCTGGAATAAAGGTGCACGTTTGTGTCCCGTTAGCTAAATGGGTAACTACCAGGGTACAAACTGTTCAAATCGGTCTGTAGCTTGTGTGAAGGACTAAGGTAGACCTTCCTCCCCCTCCATAGCCCAGTATGGTGGGTTATGACAAAAGCAGACACCAACCTTGTCCTCTGCTCAGGTCTCCGATGCTCTCTGCTCAGTGGTTTCAGCCTCTGTTTTGAGGCTCTTGACTGAAGATAGATCTGTGTTTTTAGATCTTTTTGATCCCTTGGACCTCCTTTGTGGGGCTGCAGACTTGAGGCTGCAAATTATGCAGGTACCAAAAATCCCCAAACAAATCAAACCATCTCTTCTGCAGGGATGATGAATTCTTCGTCTGTTATCCTTTAGGGCTTGCTCGTAGTTGCTCTGTGTTTTTCTTAAGTCTGCACAGCAGCTGTGTTAGCTTTCATGTTGGAGACCTTGCTAATAAACCTTGCATTTGGTTTACTCTTCAGAGACAAACTGGCTGGAGAATTTTCCTGAGGCTTATTTTCCCATTTATGTTGCTCCTAATAAGTAGGTTTGCCTTCAGTATTGCTGGAATAACCCTCAGTTGCAGCTTAATTTAAGAAGCATAGCTCATGGACCTGTTTCTTTTGAGTTATTGGCTGTTTGCAGTAATGGGGGCTTGTGAAAACCTGGTTCCCCTCAAAAGGGAGGCCAAAGGCTGTTTGATCTCGAAGAGCAAACTCTGCCTAGGAAAGCTGCCTGCTCTCAGCAAGCCGTGGAGGATACAGTGCTTTGTTCGAGGGCTGCCATTCCTTTTAGAGCTTTGTGAAGGAAACCAGCGTGTCAAATTGTCATGATATTTTTTTTCTAATCAAAGAAATACATAGTTAAAGCAACTGGATTTACCTCTTGAGACAATTACTCTTGTCAGAACAAGAACTTGAGCAGCTGCTGACTTCAGCTGTTTTCTAAAAGCCCAAATGTAGAATCTTCGTCTGAAGACAAACCAAAATTCTTCTGCTGCTGTTCTTTGTTTCAAAGTCACAAACTAAACCGAGCTGTTGTATGCAATAAATTGACATTGACAGTACCTCCGGAAACGTTTAAAAGCTGTTTTTACATGACATCAGACGGTCTGTTGAACCAGCTACTGGGTAAGTCACAGGCTCCCCCGCTGCCAAGCCACCCCTCAGCGAGAAGAAGGGACGGGGTGAAGCCCTGCGTCTTTTATTAGACACAAAGTGCCCGTTGTCAGAGCCGGGTATGAATTTTGTAGCGACATAAATGAAGTGCAGCTTGAAAGCCGTGACATAATTGAGATAAAGATTGTGGCAGAAAAAGGGGAATGAGGTGCTGGAAACACGGAGGAAGACAGGGACTGCTGATGGGAGCAGAAGATTGACAAGATAATGCGAGGGGTTGTGAAGCAATGTGCTGAATACAGAAGAAAAATCAACATTAATGGGAGCGTACGTAAACTAAATAAGAGCTTTCTCCTTGGCCCATTGGCAGTCTCTTGACTTGACCTTGGCAGCTTGCTCACCCTGCAGGGGAGAGAGCAGAAACAGTCTTGACATCTTCTGCTGAGTTTGCCCAACGAGAAGAATCTGCGAGTTAGGGATGTTTTCCATGTTCAGATCGGAGAATGAAGGGCCTTGCCTGATCAGCAGGCCCTGTCCTGGCTAGATCAGGAGAGTGAGTGAGGAGGAGAGAGCCTGGAGCAGGTTCCCCTTGAAGGCAGAACATTGCAGCTGCTCACTTGGCACCCTGTTGTATCTGAAGGCTGAGTAACTACTCTAGCCACGGCGCCTGTGGGGGATGACTTGCCCAGGGTAACAAATCAGTTGAGTAAAACATGTTTCTTATTCCTTTTCTTGCTTCTCTGCTGATGAAATTTCCGGAGGCGAAGATCAAAAAGCCTTGAAACAAAGCACTGACTTCCTTCAGCGTTCTGTTGGGTCAGTGATAATGCTCATGTGCTGATAACTGCAAAGGCGCTGGATGCCGGCACGGTGCACTGGATATCCGGCAGCTGCCCTGTAGGAGAGCCGAGCTCTCGTGTTTGTTTTCATAGTGTAGAGCTCTGCTTTGTTCGTAGTGGTAACTGTTCAACTTCCCTGTGCCAGCTACAGCAATTGCCGAAGTATTGTTTTTCTAGAAAAGCATTATTTGATATGATTTAGCCTCTTGCTGCACTTCATAGAATCACAAAATCATTCAGGCTGGAAAAGGCCTCTAAGATCATCAAGTCCAACCATCAACCCAACACCCCCATGCCTAATAAACCACGTCCCGACGTGCCACATCTACACGTTTTTTGAACCCCTCCAGGGATGGGGACTCCACCACTTCCCTGGGCACCCTATTCCAATGTCTGACCACTCTTTCAGTAAAGAAATGTTTCCTAATATCCAATCTAAACCTCCCCTGATGCAACTTGAGACCATTGCCTCTTGTCCTATTGCTAGTTACCTGGGAGAAGAGACCAACACCTGCCTCACTACACCCTCCTTTCAGGTAGTTGTAGAGAGTGATAAGGTCCCCCCTCAGCCTTTTCTCCAGACTAAACAATCTTTAATCGCCAAAGTGAGGAAAAGAACCAGCACCATGTCAAATCCGAGTTTTCTGTGCCTCGGTGGAGGTGTTCAGTGGGTCACATAGGGGATCGGTTGTTGGCCTCCTGTTACCACATCATGGCCTAAAACAACACCGTGTTTGTGGCAGTCTGCAGAACATCAGCTCTGGAGTGTAGCATTACAGAGAAATATCCTGACTTCTGCTGTGGACTTAAAGTCCAAGGGAAAGTCTTTTTCAGAGAAACATCCAGCTGCAAGCCATCAGCGGCTTCAGACGGTAATACCATTAGATTCCCTGTTCCTTGCTTGTCACTATAGTGTAACTTTTCAGTCCATCAGCTTCTGCCTTGACCTTATTCTGGCAAACTCCTTTCAGCCCACAGAAGCACAGCATTTAATAAACATTTCTCTCTGAAAGCAGCCAAACAAGAACAAATGCTGCAGAATGAGTCTCCTACTCTCATTTCCCAAAGCACGCAGGTCTGAACCTGCGAGAGATCGCCTTGTTATAGAACCGAGCTCCATCGGAGGCTGCAAACCTCTCAAAAAACCAGGCCAAAAGTCAAGTAACCCCCGTTCCCCGCAGCGCAGGCTGGGGAGGGATCATGCTTGCGTGGCCAGACTATAAAGCAATGTAATCCAGTTGCTTGAGTCTGCAGGGAAACTGCTCAGAGAGGGCTTGAGCCAGCGGTGTGCTGCGCTCAGCAGCTCCTTCAGTCGCCCCGCTGCACTGCGCTTCTGAGGCACCTGGTGGGTTGATGTTCCTCAGGTCCAGCATGTGGACTGCAGTTCTGTTAAAACGGCTTTATTACCACACACTGACACGCCACTTGGGTGATGCTCTTATTTCTTTAACTTTGAATTTCCAGTGAACCTTTGCGAGGTTTTTTTCCCTTGTTGAAACTGAGTTTCTGAGAGTTGTGTGCCAGTTACATACAGGAGTCCAGCGCAACCGCGGCTTTGCTCGGACTGTAGTTGTGGGGACACACGGACGCTTTTCTGCATCTTGTAGCCTAGCTGGTGTCCTAGAGTTGTCTTGCGCAACAGAAACACAGTAAAGAAAAGGTGTTTCATAATGCTGGGAACTTGAGGATGATTCCTCTAAGTTTTGTGCTATCTGGAGTAGTGAGCCCTGACTCACATTAAGTAGGAGCTGGAGGCACTGGCCGTGCTGCCAGAAGGTGGACCAATCGGCCCTCAGTGTTTCAACACGCTGCTCCTTTCTGAGAGCTTTTTCCAGTAACAAAATTATCAAATCCAGATGCCTCATTTGCTGAAGACCTAACTGTCTCCCTGTGAACGCCTCAGACTGGCCTTAACACTAATCCTAGAGAAATGGAGGGGATTTGGGACACTTGGCTAAGTATGTTTTGCTACAGGCTGTTGCTCCTGCCTCGTGCAGGCAGCCTGTGGCTGGGGCCCTCGTGAGCGTGCTGCAGATTGCCTTTTAACTCCCTCTCGCCCACGCAGGCTTTATGGTAAAAGGCTGAACGGTGACTTCAAGAGGGGAAGTTTGTTTTTTCCCCAAGGTACGAGTTTAAGCTGTGCTGCCGTATGTCCTGCCCGTGGTGGCACACGTTGTGGGTGTAAGCAAAGAGGGGCCTGGAGAGGGGCCCTACATTTACATCACTGGGAAATGTCGGTGCCCTCTGGGGAGCGGTGGGGAGGAGGAGAGGCCTTTCGTTAACTGAAAAGCTGTTCAGCGTAAGCCATATTCCAATTCTGCAACTAAACGAAAAGCTAAACTAATCGCTGAGCAGAACTAATCTCTCTTTCCAGCAAGCCATTTCACAGGGCTTGCACTTCACTCAAGGAAAGCCCGTGTAGCCGAGGGGAGGCTTCTGCTGTGCTGAAAACATTAGCACCTCGCAGGTACGGATCCCCGTTCCCTCGACACGCGAGTGCTGGAAGTCATAGAATTTTAAGGTTGGAAAAGACCTTTAAGATCAAGTCCAACCGTCACCCCAACACCACCAGGCCTGCTAAACCGTGTCCTGAGTCACCTCCATCTGTGCGGTAACTCAGCTGGGTTACAGCAGGGACTTGTCCAAACTCGGTGAACTGTTTACCATGTGGCAACACAAGTGAGATTCAGTCTGAGATGAAGGCTCCTACCTCTACAGTCTGCTTGTGAGCCTGGTTTCTGAGGTGCTGTAGTCAGTGGAGCCCAGAGAACAGGCACACGCACCTGCAACTCAAGGAGAGGCCTACTGGGCAGGGATAAAATTACAGAATCATTCAGGTTGGAAAAGGCCTCCAAGATCAAGTCCAACCATCCATCCATCACCACCATGCCTAATAAACCATATCCCGAAGTGCCACATCTATGGTTTTTTTGAACACCTCCAGGGATGGGGACTCAACCACCTCCCTGGGCAGCCTGGTCCAATGTCTGACCACTCTTTCAGTAAGGAAATGTTTCCTAATATCCAATCTAAACCTCCCCTGACACACCCTGAGGCCATTGCATCTCATCCTATTGCTAGTTACCTGGGAGAAGAGACCAACACCTGCCTCACTACAACCTCCTTTCAGGTAGTTGCAGAGAGCAATAAGGTGTCCCCTCAGCCTCCTCTTCTGCGGACTAAACAGCCCCAGCTCCCTCAGCTGCTCCTCAAAAGACTTTTTCTCCAGACCCTCACCAGCCTCATTGACCTTCTCTGGACATGCTCCAGCATCTCAATGCCCTTCTTGTAGTGAGCTCCCTTGAAAAATGACAAATGTTTGTGCTGAAGTACAGGATGAGATGCTGTGGGTCATGTAAGATGTCAGTGGGTTACTGTAGAAGACTGCTACAAACTGGTTTTGTGTCGACATTGCCATTGTCATCTCTTCCTGGCCTCTGAAAAAACCACCACAACCACCGCTTGTGCACAGAGTAGCACATGGACAGGCAAGAGCGGACTTGTCTAAGCAGGCAGCACGCATGGCACAAACTGCACGTATGTGGACACACTCTGCGCATGCCCAGTTCCCCCTCTAAAAGGGCAGCACATGCTCCTCGGAGCCCTCTCTTTCTCTTGCTCTCCTCCTCACCGCCTTGCTCCTGGCCTCCGCCCTTGCTAGGGCCTCCATGCTTGCACAGAGACTGAGCCAACCGTACGTCGCTGGACATCGTCAAATCTGTGGTGGTGGTAACTGATCCACCCCCTGCGCTTCTTTTCCTCGCCCGCTGGGATTTTTCCGACTTTACTCCTTTTTTATTCTGTCTCGTCTTCTCCTCCCCCCACTGCCATCCCCGCCCGACCTCCGATTCCCGGCTCACTGAAATAAAGTTTACAAGATTGCACGGCATATGACTCCATTTGCGTCTTAATCTCGTCTCCTGGGAACGCATCGAAACCTCCCTGATAACGGACAGTTACTGAGAGCCAGATATCTCACTTCTCTATGGTGAGGCAGCAAGCGCAGTAAGTGATGTGCTGGCTTTCTCTGTCCTGGGTTATCTTGTCTCACAACGACCGACTACCTGCAGGAATCCACTCAGAATTGCCAGGCAAGCCTCAGCGTTAAAATAGTTCCATGAAATTTAACCCAACATATTTTTGCAACAGAAGCACTCAGCCTGGATTTCTGATATGCTGAAAATTCAAGATCAGGAAGGAGCATGACCCAGGCTGTACTGATAGCTCTTCAGTTTTGTTACACAACCCACTGCTGCTTAGATTCAGCCAAGCCCACTCAGCTAACTTCACGCCATTTACGCATGAAGTTGTTACTAATTCTAATTTATAGTCTTGATGCTGTCATTAACTGTCATTCATATATAATCAATGGGACAACAGGCAGGGGCCAAGCTTGTTGTAAGCATGAGTTCTTGAACCTTGTTCATACACTAATTTGTTCTGGTGATGTGCAATATGGAAATGTAATAGGAGCCGTAATTGGCCCTACAATCCAGGGTGTCCAGGATGTGCAATGGGAGGGGGAAAAACCCCCCACGGAATCAACGCACTAAGATACACCTTCACAGAGACTAGCCACGAACCAAAGATACAGGGTTACACAATATATTTGGCCAATTCTTTAAAAAAAAAATTAATACTTTGCTGATTTTTATGCTCTTTTTTAGTGTTTTTCAATTAAGTTTTGGTTATTTCAATACATTTAAGTAGGGGTTTTACAGAGACAGAAAAAATGTGTTAAAACATTCAATTTCTAGCAATAGTTGAATTATGTTTGGATAAAGTAGATTCTGCTTTAGCAAGGTATTAAATGTTTTGTAACAGGTCTACATTTTATGGCGGCCTGCATCTACCCATTCCATGTCTGATCATAGAATCATAGAATCATAGAATCATAGAAAGTTTTGGGTTGGAAGGGACCCCTAGAGGTCATCTAGTCCAACCCCCCACAGCGAGCAGGGACACCACTAACTAGATCAGGTTGCTCAGAGCCCTGTCCAACCTGGTCTTGAATGTTTCCAGGGATGGGGCCTCCACTACCTCTCTGGGCAACCCGTTCCAGTGTTTCACCACCCTCATTGTAAAGAATTTCTTCCTTATATCCAGCCTAAACCTACCACGTTGTAGTTTAAAACCATTACCCCTCGTCCTGTCACTGCTGTCTCTACTAAAAAGATTGTCCCCATCTTTCCTATAGGCTCCCTTTAAGTACTGAAATGCTGCAATCAGGTCTCCCCGCAGCCTTCTCTTCTCCAGGCTGAACAAGCCCAACTCTCTCAGTTTGTCCTCATAGGAGAGGTGCTCCAGCCCTCGGATCATTTTTGTAGCCCTCCTTTGGACCCGCTCCAACAGTTCCATGTCCTTCTTGTGCTGAGGGCTCCAGAGCTGAACGCAGTACTCCAGGTGAGGTCTCACCAGAGCAGAGTAGAGGGGCAGAATCACCTCTCTCGACCTGCTGGCCACGCTTCTCTTGATGCAGCCCAGGACATGGTTGGCCCTCTGGGCTGCCAGCGCACATTGCCGGCTCATGTCCAGCCTGTCGTCTATCAGTACCCTCAAGTCCCTCTCAGCAGAGCTGCTCTCAATCCTTTCATCCCCCAGCCTGTATTGATAGCGGGGATTGATCAAGAGGGAATTCCACATTTTACAGACTGCGAGGCCCACAAAAGCTAAATATTAAGGCGGATCCTTTGTTAGATACGTGTGCAGCTACTTGGACTGCGAAGCCCAAAAAGTGCGCAGGAGTTCTCGCGGTGGTGAGGCAAGCAGCCTTTCAATTAGCCGTCTGCACACGGACATAGCTCTCGTTAAACTTGCGTGTGTAAATCATGAATTCGGGCACTCAGAAACAGCTTCCACAAGGCCAGATGCCACACACTCCTTGAAGAACAGAGCAAATATTTAATGAACTGAGAATGTTACATTTCTGTGTTAACAGCACAGCTGGTCTATTTTTAACCGACCTTTTCTTTAGCTAACAAGGCCTTGATCATCCGAGCTGTGATGTGCCCTTCTGATTTACCAGTAGTGCCGTCTTCTTTGTGGCTCCTGCTTGGCATTTCTTCTGGCTCTTTATGAATAGGCATGGCTCTTCCAACCACACACATTAGGCTTGTCTCCAGAGGACCCAGTTCTAAGTGTTCCTTAAACAGAAAGAATATTATTCTTCTCTAATTGCATCAAAAAGCAGCCATTCTTCAAAAAAAACAAACAACAAAACCCAACAAGTAACTCTATTTTTAAAAGCAGCTGCAGAGCTGCTGCCCTGGGGTTGCTATGTTTGGTAACAGCAGTGTTAACAGGCTTGGTTTACAAGCCAGCTCAACTTTGGAGGATGCAGCCCTGCTGCTCTCTTTTCCTGTGTGTTTTCACCAGTAACACTTTCTCTGCAAACCAACTTCTGCTCCTAAATTCAGTTCTGTGAGAAGAATGAAACCAATCCAACAGCTCGCTCCTGCCAAAAGAGAGAGGTCCGAGTCCAGCCATGCGCTTCCACCACGTCTGTGCTGGCTCTGGTCTTCTCCAAACCTCTGAGTCCACTCAGTTAACCAACCCAACAGAAACTGAATTCAGGAGGAACAAAAAGGCGAGCTTTTCTGCGGGGTTAGCGAGTGAATCAGCCACAGAAAAGGCCGATGTGCGCTAGGGGTTCCCCAAGGGCAGGAGCAGGACCATCCAGCCAAGGCCAGGGAGAGGGCAGAAGGAACCATACAAGTGCAAGCTCTGGAATTGCCTCGGGTTAGTAAACGCTTTCATAATAGTGGCCAAGGCAGCTCCGCTGGTTGCAATTACACCTTCGTTGTTACAAAGTACAAGACTGTCAGCGGCACCCATATCCCTCGGCAGGGTGGGCTCTGCAGCGCTAACAGCAGGAACAAAGAAGTCAGGCTAGCGGTGTTCCTCTCCCAAGGCAACGACTGCAAGGGAACAAACACCGGGACACATTTTTTTTTGTTTGTTAAGTCTTCAGCTTTTCTGTGTAATGACTCTTCAGGACAGAGCCACTCCTTAAGTCTCTGATGAAGGCAACGGGATGATTTCTCTGAACACAAGTTGCAGGATATTTATCAAACTAATGCCAAATTTCTAGAAAAGGAGTTGCTGGTGCTGGTTTTGGTTTTTTTTTTTTAATATATTTGAACAGAATATTCAAGAGTAAAGAAACATGGAGAAGTATCTTTACACAGCAAGCCCTGCAGTCTGCACTGTGTTTATATCATCTTTTTTAATTTGCAGTAGAAATCGATAATGTAGAGTAATAGATTTTCTGAGAATAATTAGTTTCTTTAGAAATGTATTCAAGTTTTCATAACTCAAGGGTGTGTAGTATCGAAGGCACCCAGGAAACATCATTTTGCAACCCAGGATCAAGGATCTCCCGAAGCAGGTGCCACCACCTCTCTGCGAACCACACAAACACATAACCTGTACCTTTTTATTTTCGCAACCCCTGTATTTTGCACCCAGGAACACCTTCATCTTGGCTTTCTGTTGAAGGAATAAATTACTTGTTGATCCTTTACTGTTACTATGCAACATGAATTCCAAAGACCCGCATCCAAGCAAACAGGTCTGTGCAATACCATAGAAAACTGTCACTTGGTGACAGTCAGAATTCGCTCTAGGGGGAATTTCATCCTGGCTCTCACGTACGCTGATTCCGAGGACACCCCTGAATTGCCAAAGCCACGTGTCTCGTGCTGTCAGAAATGCACTAAGGCATCCAAAACATCCACGCAAGGCTGGCCTGGATGACACAGAACCTATGGGAACACCATCTGAGGGACAGGGAGCGTCCTCACCATCTCAAACCGCACCCGACACCTGTGGTCAAGCATCTCAGTTGTACACTAGGTTAAAGACGTTAGAGTTTTCTCTGCTGTACCACCACGGGGAACAGAACGCTCCTGGCAGTAGCTCATGCTCCACACTGAAATATGTTTGTGTCAGTGAAAGACCCGATTACTTTAACTCATACCTGGAAATCTTTCTCATCTTCAGACAACAAGCTATCAACAGCTGGAGTGAATGACTTTTCCCACTGCTCCTCATCCCTGTCTTGAGGCTTCTCATTCTCTGACAGACTCTTTGGAAAGGCTTTTTTTTTCTGACAGGGGACTCTGGCACTTCTGAGGCTTTCATCTCCATCTGTCTTTGCTTTTTAAAGACACAACAATGAAGTATATGTAATTGTTAAGCTTTAGGAAGATCACAATTAGTACTTGGTGTGAGCATTACCTGCAATCTTTAATATGATTTGGCCAGTGCGGTGTAAAGAACAGCTTGGTAGGATTTTTAATTGGCAATCCAAGCCAAATGTTGATTTTGCTCACTGATTTTTCTGTTTATTTCTGTTCACAATTTCTGATCAAGATCAGTGACTGAGATTGGAAGTTAGAAGTAATGGGTCTGTGGGACGGGGCAGGGGAAAAAAACGAGCTTTTATCAGTTTGACTTAGATCCTATATAGCCCTGAATAGTTAAAAAAATAGAAAAGGCAGCAAAAACAAGTATAAACTTTTTCTATATCCATGTATGTATCTCTGTATATAGATATATACAAGTTCCTGAAAGACACCTAGTCCCCTTACAACTCCGCTGAAGAGCTCACATTTGCAGTTGACTGTTTCTCAGGATGATAGACAGTTCTGGACATGGACTGCCAAGTTATGTTGTTGCCTGGGACAGTGACTGGACCCCAGCCCGTTGGAACAAAACTTACTCCTCCCAGTAATTATTGCAAAGGTCTAGCAAAGGCAATAGAGCTGAACTGTTCAAAGTCAACACACATCTAATTCAGAAGTCTTAGTCAACAAGTTTGCTGGTGCCAGATGGTTCCAGAAAGGCCCACCTATGGCTGTAACTGATCAGATCTTCAACAGACTTATTCACATATCCAAAACTGTATGGCTTCAATTTTTGCAACTTACCTCTTTGATTTAATTTTATCCTTTTGTCCCCCTCTTTCTTGTACTCACACAAAGATGTTAAAATAAAATATGTGATACTAAGGAATCCATAGGAACCACCCTGGACATAAGTGCACTCACATGCTCCTTCCTGCCTAGCGGTACATCCTTTCCCTGGGCACACCTACCAGAATAGATGGAGATTCGGCACTGCTTACCAAGATTTTTGGTTCAGGCTGGGCTCCATGCAGCTTCATCTGCTCTTGCTAGGGATTTATTTATATTTTAACTCCACTGTATCTCTATAAGCTGCATGTACAGTTGAAGTGCAAGCCAGTGTAGAGTTCAAGTGTGTCCTCTCAGGGGCAAGACATAATGAAGTTATGATGATACGGAACAGTAAAGAACTGATTAAAATATGAATCATATCTTCATAAAAGATGGCCCATCCTATTAACCACATTCAGGGCTAGCTCTGTATGAGTAATTGCATTCAACAATCTAAACACCAATTTTAATTTTAAAACTGTATTACAGGTAGATTGTGGCTTTGTCGTCTTAATGCAAACGACAGTTTATCACTGCTGTGGTGGCTGCAATTAAGTAGGAAATTAAGTGTTCGCCATGTAAAACAGGCAGTTTGATAAAGAAGAAATAAAAATTATGTAAACGTTCAGTGACTTATCAGTTCTTTTAAGATGCTGGCATGCACATTACCTGCATACTCTTTGTACTTTACTTCTTTCCTTCCATCCTTAGGAAATTCATCTTGCAAGCCGGCTGCCTGGCTAAGAAAAAAACACCTATGAAATTAAAAACATAAAGTGAAAGTCATATTAGAGGTCTGAATTTTCTCTCTAAATTGTCCTGTGCAATCTTTTGGGGTGAAGGGGAGAGCACCCTTTCTGAAAGCCATTTGCTGCTTAACCACAAATACAGAATAGCGTAACAGTTTAAAAATGCAGTGGAGGCAGCCAGGTAGCTTAGTGGCTAATATGCTGCTCGTTTTTATTCTTAGCGCCTAAGTTCAACTATGTCCACAAGACTAAAAGAAAACAAATGTTATAGTCTCCAGTCAGTCCAAGATTCAAACCACAGCTGGCAGCTTTCACTTAAGAGCAGTCCAAAGTTTGGAAAGGAGAGAAAAATGGTCATTTCTTAAGACTTGGAACTTTTTTATGCAATATGGCTGAAATCACTGAGCTGGGAATGGAAAATGAGGATGGATCATTCCCATTGTTATATTGTGCTTTTGACACCATTACCGTTCACATTTTGCAGCTAAATTAATCTTTCTCTAGGGAACAAGTTGACTAATTTCAATATAAAAGAAACTAATACTACAGACACCTCTACAGACAGATCTATCCCAAGGCCTCTTCCTTACTCAGTGTTGGGTCATCTGTTTCACTCGGGATTGCAAAACCATGTATGTTTGCATATTAATCTTCACATCTTAAACATTTTGCCAAGAGCAAAGGAAAAATCTGTTGCTCAGCTCTTGGTCTGAGAAGCTGGGTCTGTGACAATTACAACAGAAAGAAACTATTTCCAAGCCCCAATGGTATCCCCACTAAAAGAAAATGAGTGTCATGAGGTCTTAGTAGATTATTAAAGAACCCAGTTTCTTCCCTGAATTTTGGTGTTTAGGAGGTTACAATGTCACTGGCAACCTTCAGACATAGAAGTCCCACACATACTCAGTCAAATCCTGCTTCCCTTCAACTAGAAAACCACCTTGGCTCTGTTGTGGGAGAGACCAAATAGTTCTAGAGGCAGAAGAAGGCATTATCTTTTTAAAAAAAAAAATTAAATCATTTTTGAGTCTGTCAAGGCATCATTTTACCTGGGTACTCTCAGATTCTGAAGCCTGCCATCAATCAGCTTTGTCACTAAACTGATATTTTCTTCTTCCAGGAGCTGAATAGAAGCTTTCAAATCACTTATTTCCTTTTGGTACATCTTCACCTTTTGACAATTGAGGGAAAAAAAAAAAAAAAGGATCACCTTAGAAATACTGTACCCATTTTGGAAAGCTTTCAGAGTAACTATCTTAATAGCACGTACCTAGAAAGAATGCAGCTGTATCAGCAAGACTGCATATTTTGTGGAGAAACACAGTGACACTTTTTCAGGCAAAGGGAAGGCCTCTCTGGTTCTTTCACTTCTTTTTTATAACCCTTTACTGGCACAACTCTGCCAATCAATCACAGCCACACATTTGGGCTATGCAACCCTGACAGCAGAACCTTCTCATGTAGCCAAACAGGTCTGGGAGACAGAAGCTCTGGATTTTTCTTCTTTGCTTTCGCATCAGAGCTTTAAGAGAGAAAATTCTTCTCTATAGAGTTAAATTCAGGCTCTTGCTCAGCAAGTGTTGCTTTTCTAATTCCTGCTTATACACAAAATCTTCTCACTCAGAATTAGTGAAGCTTTCAGTCCAAGTTAGCCATGCCACTGGCTAAATCCCTGGGTTCTGCTTTCTTTTGGACTGGTAATCATTACATTAGCCAAAGGATACCAGTTATTTGGTTTCCACAATTCCTCTCACTTTTCCTGACGTACAAGCAAGTTTTACCCCTTTACTGGGAAGTGGACTGTACTACGGGGGGAATACCTTCCCAGAAATCCTAGCCATATGCATATGTTTAAAAACAGTATCTAGTGATCTGAATGCATCTGTTCTCACCAAAGCCAAATTAACCCAGCTATAATCATCCAAGTTTGCAGTTAAAAACTAGTTCCCATTTCTCCCAGGGATTAAAGAAGGTGAAAATGAGAGGACATTAACCAGGACCAGGATGTGGCTTGGCACAATGAGGTGATGCAGCTTTGCACCCTCTTGGTGTGACACAGTAACCATGGAAAAATGTGACTGAAGTCTCCCAATCTGTTCAAATTTGGAGGTAACTAGTTTAGGGCTGTTTTGGTAAGTCCTTTTTCAGTTCAGTGGCCAAACTGAAAAAATTACGAATTTTGAACCAAGACAAAACTGAAATTTTTTATTTTTCTCCCCAAAAGAAAATATTAGAAGAGTCTGTCAACTACATATAAACATGAGCCTGAAAGAAAATATTTCATCTGTATAAGAAAAGCAGAGAAAATGAATGGGTGAATTCAGAGGACTGGAGAAGTTAGTGATAATAGTTTCATTTTCCACAATAATTCAAAGTGCTAATTCATAACATAGGAAACTAGTAACATGGGAAACTAGTTCATAAGGTAGGAAACTTCTAGTTGAGTGGAAAGAAACTCACATCCCTCAGCTCTCAGGAGAGGGCCTGTCAGAACGTAAGTGTACTCCAGAGTGAATCTCCCCTGTTGGCACTGCCTAATGTGTGTAAAATTCGTCAAGTGTTCAGTGAGACAAAGAGAAGGGAAGGGAATTCATAATCATGCAGTGATAGGATGTATAGACTCAGGCTCCTGTTTGTTTATACAGATGAAAACATTAATTCCCTCCTGTTGACCCCTACCTTATTGCCTCAGAAGCTGTGGTTTGGACACCCTCCCTGGAAAGTTAAAGATGTAGGCTCAGAGCTCATTAAGGGGAAGAAGGAAAGCTGTATCCCTGCATACTGGCAAGTTTCTTAAACTAATAAGTAAAATGGAGAAACCTCTGCCAGGATGGTTGATGTGACACTGAAAAATAATAAGTTAATTTATTAATTTCCAAAAAAGTTTTGCGCAGTTCTAAACTGTGAGGTTGTAAAGGTGGAGAAGGGTATATTTCCCCCCTCCAATCTCTTGCTTAGATTTGATTGCAACAAAGAATCTGTATTGATTGGAACAAACACAATCAAACTTTTACCAGGGAAAAATCAGTTTGCCAAATTTGGCTCACAAAGAAGTTTTTTCTTGACAAGAAAAGTTACAGCTATCTAATACATAGCCCTAAATTGCCATTAAAGGACAGTATAAAAGCTATCAAATAATCAATTACAACTATATATGATTTTGATTTTCCTCTCTTCAGTGTACTAATCTCCAGGGTTTCTTCATTATCTCCCACTTAAAGCTGTCTCAAGCCCTTTCTCCAGAAATGTTTCCAAAATCCATTTCCATTTTCTTTCAATACGGCAGCACTAGAACTTTCGTGCAATTCAAAACAGAGCTCTTCAAATACTTGCATGGTTGAGCCTTTACACTACAGAGTATCCTGTTCTCTACAGAAATAAGTACTTAATTGTATGGAACGTTGTAGTCCTTCGTATAACTGCTTAGGCAGGAAAAGGCGTCCTTCATTTGTGAAAGTAGATGTTCACCTTTTACCTTTATTCACCACATACACTGTTTGCTACTCAGCATTACAGATTAATTGCAGGAAAATTGCTCTCCTTTTCCTACGATAGTCCTCAGAGGCCCACCACTGGAAACAGTTATGACTGTAGGCCATGGTATTTCAAACCTGAACTGCCATGATAGACTGTAGGCAAGTGATCCTCTTACCTCTTCTTTTAGCCATTCATTCTCTTCAATTTCTCTGCGACAGTTTTTGTCTAAGCATCTTACAGCATTCTGAGGAAACAGAATTTAAGATCATCACAGCTGAAAGCAGGACTTTGACAGTGCTGAACACTATAAAGAAGAATATTCTGATGTTTAGCAGGAAATAATTCAGAAACATCCACACAGCAGACTGTAGCATCCCCTGAGGGCTTATGAGGAGATTTAGTCCACAAGGCCAGCTGTTTCTTCTCCATCATCCAGCCCAGTGCAGTTTATATGTCAAGCAATTTACCAATACTTTATAATTTCTCATATTAAAATAAAACAGATTCTTTTTGCCTAACAAGTTCTGCTGTGTTCCCACTACTGCTCAAATCTTCCTGTTTTCAGGAAATCAAACCTTTAGCTATTAAAAAACTCAAGCAAAATCACAAATGAGGCAGTATTGATCTATGACAAGTGACTTAAACATGTAGAGGTCTATGCTAACGAGCCAAGGCTACAATTTAATTACTGATGTCAGTAAGTGGAAAGCAACAGCTGGGCAGGAAGATGCTCATGTAGATGACCATCAGCGCAGTCCTTTGGATTATGTTCTCACACGACTGAAAATCCCAGCACTGAAGTCAAGGAATTTAAACACCTAATGACCCCACCCAGTGGTTTGCAGTGAAGTATTGCTTTGCATTTTGCGAGTGTAAAGAGTCATCACCATAAATACTTTGTAAATCATGTTTGCAAATCAGAGCTGGCAGAGCTAACAAAAAATTCTGTATATCCATAAGCCTAAATTTTACTGTAGACTGCACTATTTTGGCATTTTAAAAATGTTGTAGTTTACAAGTAGAAAACAACATTTTTTTTTTCAAATTGATGTGTATTTCCATGCAGACAATCCCTTAGTGTGTTATTGTTTTTTGAAGTCTATGCAAACGTCAAAAACAAGGTCATAGCAAAAGCGACATGTTCTTCAACCAGTCACATCAGTGCACAGTGCCCCAGTTTCCCATATTTGGTTTGTAAAATGCCCTCACATCTACTCCTTGTTAATCTGATGTAAAAAAAAAGGTACGTGTGTATAACAATAACCAATGCCATGTTAGTAAGAAGATTTACAGTTTATTTTACTCTCAATTTATTAGAAAAGTTCCAAGTCTTCATTCGAGTCAAAATAATTATTAATGCAGAGTACATGAGTCCTAACTATGATGCAGTTAGCAGTTTTAAAAAAGGCAGAAGGAATACCTCAAGGGCCTGTTCCTTACTTAACTTCATGTGCCACTCAACCAGTCTGTCATTTTCTTCTTTGACTGCTTTCAAAGCATTCCTATAATATTCTTCAAAACAAACAAAAAAAAAAATCAGAAATCATTATCTGACATCCATTTCTCCTGACAACAAATAGATAAGTGGCATGTTGTTCCTAAACTGGAACTTATCAGCCAGCATCACATGCATAGATGCTTCACAGAAAAGAGTTCAAACATCCTTCTCCGTAGAAATTGCCCTCCTAAACCCAAAGGACAGTAGTGTTAGCTACAAAACTAGAAATTTGAAGTGGCTTACAGATTTCTGTTGGCAACTACAAGAGCTGAGCAATTCACTGCTAATTGAGCAGTGAGCTGAGCAATTCTCCGCTAAAATATTGGTATCTTACCAATAAATTTTGCCTCTATCGATAAACAGCAGAGCTCCTGCAGTCATGCGAGAGATTTGCTTAGAAAACTTATTTTTTAGGTATGGAAGCATATTGGATCATCTTATGCACATGGCATTTTTTTCAGACAGTTATTATACAGAGCCTAATAAATTTTCTGACTTATCTAAGCCTTCCAGAGGGTTCTCATTTGACAACAGGACAAAATGAGGAACGTGGCACTTGCCTCAATGATTTGCTTTCATCATTACTTGTGGTCATTATTTAGAAAGTATGTCTTACATCAAACTGAATTTGTTTGGCTTCAGGTTCCAGTCACTTGCTGTTTAATTATTTCATTCTTCAGTTGGTTTTGTGCTATTCTAAGTAACCCACTGCTGCTTGGTATTTTCTCCTTTTGAAGGAATGAGATCGTACTGATTTTCTTTGAAGGCAGGCACTTCATACTTCTTCCAGAGGGTTGAAATTCAGCCTACCTCTGCACTCGTGTTGCAGACAGCCTATTGCTGATCTGGCTATAAATGAGTATCTGGTCTTGGACACGCTGTGGAGTCAAAGGCAGTCAAATATGAAAGGTGCATTAGTTGTGCATTAGTTCTTAATCTGACACTGTGGAAGCTGGCCTGCCTTAATCAGTCCACCATCTAGACTTGGCAGAATGAAATGGAAGTACTCACACACTATAATTAATTCATCTTTTAATTCTTTCAGACAGGTAAACAACCTGAGTTGTACTGGGAGGTAGAGTACCCCACTCTACTCTGCCCTAGTGAGGCCCCATCTGGAGTACTCTGTCCAGTTCTGGGCTCCCCAGTTCAAGAAAGATGAGGAGCTACTGGAGAGAGTCCAGCGGAGGGCTACAAGGATGATGATGAGGGGGGACTCGAGCATTTCTCTACAAGGAGAGGCTGGGGGAGCTGGGCTTGTTCAGCCTGAAGAAGAGAAGGCTGCGAGGGGACCTTAGAAATGCTTATAAATATTCTCCAGGGTGGGTGTCAGGAGGATGGGGCCAGACTCTGTTCAGTAGTGCTCAGCGACAGGACAAGGGGCAACAGGCACAAACTGAAGCAGAGGAAGTTCCGTCTGAACATGAGGAAGAACTTCCTCCCTCTGAGGGTGACGGAGCACTGGAACAGGCTGCCCAGGGAGGTTGTGGAGTCTCCTTCTCTGAAGATATTCAAGACCCGCCTGGACATGGTCCTGTGCAGCCTGCTGTAGGTGACCCTGCTTCAGCAGGGGGGTTGGACTAGATGACCCACAGAGGTCCCTTCCAACTCCTAACATTCTGTGATTCTGTGGGAGAATGAAGAAAAGGAGGAACTGTTCAGACATACTTACTGTTTCTAAGAAGGCTATTTTCCCTAACTCTCTCACTGCAACACTGTTTTCCCCACACTTCACATGAGCATTTTTTTGTTTAAAAGTTCATCTCCAGACCACATGAACTGTGCCAGGGTCTAGGCTTTCAATGGTACCTACAGAGACAGAAACGTCTTCACCTATGCTTATTCCCTAAGCCTGTTACCCATCTGAGGAGTGAACAAGCCCAGTTTGCTGCTGCATCACTCTGGAAGCTTGTTAGATTTCTTTTTTTTCAGTAGGCTAGAAGACAGTGCTCCCCAGTCCACTCTGTAAGTTCGGTTTTAGGAAATTGAGTAAAATAGAATGCTAACATCCAGTACTGGCAGCATAATTTTGCAGTATGTTAATTGGGCAACTGCTATATGTACCTCTGTAACTGTCCTATAAATACACTTCCGTTTGACCACAAATTTTTGGCTCTGTACCCTGTGACATGCAGGAGGTCAGACTGAATGTTCCTGCTGGCTCATTCTGGCATTCTACATAAAAGCCCATTCTCTTTTTCATTTCATATTTCAGCAGCTGTATAGCGAAGTTTTAAATTGACAAAGAACACAGGAAGCGCATAATCAAAAATATCAGCCTCTCCTGAATACAGAGACAGATCTCTGACAAGCTATCTGGCAATGTAGAAAACACAGTGCAGATCTTAATTGTGATAAAATATGTTTCAAGAGACAAAAAGATAGCTAGCTGGCCTTTATCCACAGGAGTCGATGCCTGGTAATAGTTGGCACAGAATATACAGAGACCCTTAGAGCAGTGTCACTGCCTGTTACTACCAGCTGCTTGGCTGTGGTCGTGCATACTGAGAGGGACATAAAGGAAGAAAACCAGGACATCCTTCTCCAGTTAGAAGCATGGATAATGTAACAGCAAAATCATTAAATGATTTTAAAATAATGCAGTAGTAGAGAAATCTTTCTAAAGCACTCAGCACGAGAATACATAAGCTCTCAAATTAATTCCACTGCTGTGTCAGTATTGAAGCAGTTCCCAGTATTTGTATATATCTGTGCTGGCAATGTTGCAGGGCCTCATACACCAAGACTATGCAACAAGGAAGCAAAGTTCAGACCACTGGCTAAACAGCTCCCTCTAGTTCTGCATTTAAAACTGCACAATCAATTCGAAAGACCCTGTTCCAAGAATGAGCTCATACTACTTTCCTGTCAAAGGAGTTTTCAACATACGAAGTGCTTGTAGCATGATGAGAAGCAACCAGAGCGCAGTCAACTTTTTCAAGTATGACTGCTAAGGGAGACCTGTGTATAGGCGACCTAAATATATGTAGACTTATTTTTAGAAAACTGCTGTCCTTCACAATAACGATTTTAAAATATGGGTTGCCTATACTTTACAAGAAAATCATCAGAAGACAAGGTTATCAGTTTCTTTAAGTGTTCATAATTTCTGCAACTTCACAAAATTCTTTCACAAAGGGACTTTCATGGAGATAGAGAGTTCTTCCCTTTCACAGGATTATGCAGTCTAGTTCAGGTGCACTGTCTTGCAGAAGTTAATACAACTTACTATAACTTGACACCAAACTAAATTTATAATTTAATTAATTCCCAGAAATAATACAGAAAGAGCTTGTAAGACTTGCATTACACTAGCTGTAAACTGACCTGTAGCCCGGTGAAGGTCGTCTTTCACTTCCTTGATGTCTTTTTCCAGATTCATAATCTTGTCGGCCTGTGTTTTACTTCCTACATTTATATACTCCAACCAATAATCCCTCTCACTCTGCTTTACTGAAAGTTTTTGCTCAGTTTCTTCAATCTGGGAGAGCAGATCTATTAAAGTAAGAATGTCAGAAGACAAGTTCATTACCAATTTCTTGAACTGATAGTTCATAATTCTTATGACTTCATCAAATTCTTTCATAAAAGCACTATCATTGGGATTGGAGAAAGAAGGGTGATTCTTCTATGCTACAATACACTACAACATGATGGCCTTACGCAGTGTCAAGGGCCACTGTCACTGCTGAAAACTGCCTGATCTTATTCTGCCGAGGAGGGACAACGGTTCTCACTGAAATGTTGTAACCGAAGACACACGTGACTTCACTCCCACTAAGAATCGCAGGGATGGCAGCCAGAACTTTCAACAGAACCGCTCATTTTTGCTGCCATCAATAATTTTTTTCATCTTCCAGTGGAGCCAATGCATAGGGCTTTCATGAGTTTCAACTTAATGGAAAATATGAAGCCTCTCTACTTGCAAGTAATATACATCACTTGGAAGGAACAAAACAGAGTCTAATATACACGGTCCGTTTCTATAAAAGACCCACTTGTCTTAAATTTTAACTCAACTTTAATTAACAGATTTACTTATAAGCCCTCTACAATCTCATGCCATGTTTAGAGAGTTTAACTTTGGGGAGGAAAGCCTTTATGCTTTGTATGCAACAAGGAAGTTGAATCTCTATTTAAAATGCAAAAAAAGGTACTCAGTCCTAACTGTGTAAACTGCAAACCAGACTTCCAAAACTCACAACGTACCTTTCAGCAGTTGTTCTTCGTCCCTAACATACTGCCATAGTGCTTTCAGTGACTCCTCCACATCGTCCCTAGTTACAACCTCCTTTTCATCTTGCTGTTTCTCCTCTTCTTCTATTTGTCTTAATATACGCCTGATGTGTGCCTGCTGTTCTTCCTTCAGAATGTTGTCCTATGAAAGAACAACAGAAGAAAAGGAATGTATTAAAACATTTTCAAATTAGTTTCCAAAGTTGCAAACTTAATTAATGGAGAAAAGTAAAATCTGACCTAGTGCAAAACCTCGCAGCTTGTTCTTCATATTCAAAACGGATGGAGCAGAAGGGAGACTTTGCAAGTCTCAAAAGTTTCTCAGTAACTTCAAGACCATTACAAGAAAATGAGAGACAAATGACAGCTGTACTTGGTAGAGCACATCAATAGCCCTCCATTTCCTGGAAAGTCAGTCCCTTGTGGGTCAGTTTAATAACAATATTTATTTGCAGGAGTTATTTACTTTGCGTCAACATTCTTCATGACAATGTACCACCTTCATGTAGAAATGTCGTCAGACAATCAGGTCACTTGCGTATAACCAGAGCAGAGAGTCTTGTCAGAGCTGGAATTAGTTACACCTACTGATTCCACAACAGTGATTATCACCCCTTGCCATGACCCTCTTAAGTGACACTCAACTTACTTGAAACCATTGATCATTTGCTCCCAAAGATTACCATAAAGGAGCAAATAACCACAGTAGCGAGAGTGTAACAGTAACTGTGCAGTAGAGAGTGTCTCAAGCATTCCTCACTTACAGAAGGATTAACTCTAAACCACTCAGAAACATGAAGCAGGAAACAAAGGTTGAAGCTCAGAGAACTGTCAAAACACACATAAATTAAACAAACAGCACTTCAAGCATGCCCTGAAGTACCTTGCACAGTCTAAAATACGAAGGAGTTCTTGAGAGACCATGAACTAGCAGCAACTTGGGGGAATAACCATAACAGACTTCAGACATCTGCAGAGAGAAGAGCCAAATGCCACTTCCACAGATAGTTAAGGCCACAAATGAAACACCATCCAGGCTTCAAGACTGAAAGGACCGCTAAGGAGAGCTAAGCAGATGGATACTTGTAAAAGCAGAGCAAGTATCAGGCATGGGAAGGACAGAGGGACATTGTTTGAATGTTTCACTGCTATAGTCAGTGCAGGCTGCAACACTGAGAGGTGAATTCATTTCTTTACAGAATCACAGAATGTTCAGGGTTGGAAGGGACCTCTGTGGGTCATCTAGTCCAACCCCCCTGCCGAAGCAGGGTCACCTACAGTAGGCTGTAGAGGACCTTGTCCAGGTGGGTCTTGAATATCTCCAGAGAAGGAGACTCCACAACCTCCCTGGGCAGCCTGTTCCAGTGCTCCGTCAACCTCAGAGGGAAGAAGTTCTTCCTCATGTTCAGACGGAACTTCCTGTGCTTAGGTGACTGTATACATACTCACTTTCAAAGTTCACTGCTCTCAATCATCACATGCCATATTATGGTTCTTTTATATAGAGTTCTTTATGCACAGTTCATACATGTAGTTCTTTAAAGTGTCATTCAGGTGCCATCAGTAGTTACATTACCTTGTTCTAAAAATGACCCAACACAACTTTAATCCACAAAAAAGTGAGTCTTCATCAAGCAGTGCTAACAATTGCACCTAGACAACTGTGTGATGCTCTTTCTTCTTTGTCTATTTTTCATTGTAACTAAGTTTGCAAGAAGAACTAAACTCTCATAGAAACCTGTGCAATTCAATTACCTCAGAAGCGAATCAGAAGGACAACAAATCTCAATGCTTGTCTAGATCTGCTAATACTAGGGACAAAAATGAAGTTAATACTGTTTATTCTTTGTGTGCTGAAAGTGTGTTCCTGAATTCCTTAAGGTATATTTGCAGGATTGTTTAAAAAGACACATCTGAATGTAGTGCAGTAAAATTACCTACTGAAGCGGGGCTGGCTGTCCTATGTTTGCTGCAGAGGAAGATTAAATACTTCAGCTATTACTGAGGATCTCATGTGCATTGGAAAACACCTTCACTGTACTCACTTTACCTTACTGCTTTATGAAATTCTGCAGTGTTCTACTCCTGTGGCAACTTTTTTGCATGGTTATATTTAGGACAGTTATACTTCATGTCACATTTAATTCAGATAACACTTCAACTTTTGAGAACATACAGTGACCCAGTAACTCTAGTTCCATTGACTGTAAGAAACTCACTGCAATAACAAGCTTTAGTGAATGTGGTATGAGGATCTAAAGAATAAAATTGAATTTGTGAGTTAAAATACCACATATAAAATGTGATGGGAGAAGGATGCATGGTCACTTACTCTTTCACGATATTCTTTGTTCTTTTTTTCCAGTTGTTTCAGACCAAACAAAATCCGGTCAATTGCTGCTTCTTTTGTCTCAATTCTGTGGAGAAAAACAAAGAGACGCTCTTACAAAACCCGAAGAGAGGCGCATGTTTTTTAAGCTAGATTAGATGTAAATACTACTGAATTTTTTTTTTTCGTTACCGTGTTGCTTGACTCATTTGGGTAGACACCACTGTCCACTTAATACACATAAAGAAATTATTTCCCTTGTACATCTGAACCTTCATGTTAGTTTGGATCTCATATTCCTACCTGCTGAGAAACAGACTCCCTGATTATACTGCTCCTTCCTAACGCCTAGAGAGGATTTAGCTGGTTTATTCTTTCTGGATGGGGTTTAGCTGAACTATTGCACAGGTGTCTCTTAGAACAAGATTATCTGTGCTCCAGAAATATTTATCACTCACCAGTCACTACAGAAGAAAGCTAGGCAACTCACTCAGACATAAGTCAGGTGAATCCCAAATTGGAGAACTAAATGGGATTCAATTCTTCTGCAAATGTGGTTTGTGGAGCTTCATAAACTGCATTTGTACACCAAGAACTTGTTCGCTTTTAAGAAGCGCTAAGGGAATAGAGACTGCAGCCAGAGTAGTATCCTCTAAGTATTTTTACACATTTTTCTCAAAGAACTAGCTCACTGCTTTCACAATTTTCACAGACTACTTGTCATCCTCTTTGCCACAGCTGTAGAAAGTACTTTTTCTGGTGGTCTCTCTTCTAGAATGAGAAATGCTAGATTGCAAATGGTGTCTATTTGCAAAATTCTCTGTAATCTTACCCTCTGCTCTCAGAATTCTTTCACCATAGGGCACAACAGAGGCAAGTATTACAATTATCACAATATCTTCTACTGTTTCAACAGCTGTTGTTCCTTCAGTTTTTAGTTTGGGGTTTTTTTTTTGCCCATCCCTATTGTATTAAGTTGTTTTAAAAGAAGATAATTTTTTTCCTGGCTAAGTTTGCATCATTCAGCCATGCAAATGGCAGGTTACTAGATTTGCATCCTCTAGTGTCAGTGTGCTCCAAGGTATTATTCAGGTCTTCCATTAAGTACAAGGATATTAGTTAAGAGACACTAGAACAGAGATATGGGGATATGGTGCTGATGGCTACAGCAAAAATATATCACTTCTTAGACAGAGGTGACAGATTGGCCACACAGTGTGACCTCCTAAATCACCTGCCATTTTAAACCATTTCTGTATTTTCAATACTGATCTGAATTTCTGCTACTTTAAGGTTTTCCATGAAGTGGCAGTCTATATCCGTCACTCTGCTAATGTCAAAAACTCGTATGAGGAGAATTTGCTATTTTGTCTGCTACATGTTGGAACTTTTGTCTTTGTTTTTCTACGGTATTTGTCAGATTAAAGCTACAAAATGGCTAGATTGATGATTCCTTTGATACTATTTTGCTCAGCTCTGTATACTAGGTTTCATCTAGATGATTTAATCATCTAGAGACAACACTCCTCTCCAGTACCATAACAGTTTTGTCAGTCATCTATAGGATGTTACTAGGGCAAGTAATTCACGGAATTGTTGTTCCTAACTGATCCTGAAACAGAAAACTGTACTGAAAATGCAAAATAACAAACTCGCTAATGCTACACACTTCATAAATCCTAAAGCGTAATGTGACAGATATTCACTTATATGCATATGCTGCTTTGTTCAGTCAAGTGGTACAGGGAAGTTATAGATTACAGAGGTGAAGAGAGAGAGGAAGAGAGAGGAAGAGAGGAGAGAGGAAGAGAGGGAGAAAGATAAAGACAGAAAGAAAAATAAATTTCTTCCCTTTTTCCCCTACTTTTGCTGGAGAAATTAATATCCTGTGTCAGTACAGCACCCGTTTCAGTGGAAGACTGTTCAGACAAATGAGTCATTTGTTTGGGTATTTGAATATGCATAACAATAATTTTATCAGAAAGTGATGTGTTTTTTTTTTCTCAGACTAGTAATACAATTTGCTTATTTCTTAGCAAAATAGCTGCATTTGTTGACTTTTTGGATTGTATTTATTTGTGGTACGATTCAGGTAAATCTGGTCTGTCTCACTGTGGAAACTTGTACTCTGTTCTTTGAAGATCCCGCCGACTCCCTGTAAACTCCTATAGATGTTACTAGACATCTGTGTGATTGCTCTTTGGTTTGACTACCCCGTTTTTCATTTCTACACCAAGGCACTACTCCTTGCTCCCTAAATGCTGATAGTTGTTGAATATTGGATGCTGTTAAGGTTTTTTGGTTTCAATTTCTGTCTTTTTGATAAAAGTCACAGAGCTTAATTTTTCTCCTTCCAATCACCTACTCAAGAGACTGCGGATCAAAGTAACTACTTCAGATAGTCCCCTCTCAGCTCTTATTTTTCTCTGCTTGATTTTAAGAGACCTTTAAGTTATCCCTGCATCATTTTCAATATAAACCACTTTGTGCTCCACCCTCAGCTGCACCAAGGGAGCAAACTATAGGTCTTGAGGTTCTGGCTAGTGACTACATACCTCTGTGAACACCAAGCAATCCTAAAAAATACAGTCAAATGTGATCTTGCAACTTCAGAATATACAGATCAAAAGTTTCCTACTAACAGACAAAAATGTGGGATTTTTTTAACAAAACTCTTTTTCCCCAGTTATAACGTAACAGCATAACATTATTTCTGACCTGCTTAAATGCTTTCTTATAGGTATAGTTTAAAAAGTGTGTATTTCTGAAATAGCCTTGAAAAGCCAAAACAAAAACAGAAAAAAACTGTACACAACTGCCACAATCAGCTCAGGCTCTGAACTGGATAAGTTGTCTTTGTTATTGATATTTTCTATATCTATATTGATATTTTCTATATGAGTTAAATATATTAAACCTACTGAAATTCGAGTAAGGATTCTGGGATAGCTGATTCAGGTTCTGTAAGTTGCTCTTCTGGTTTCTCATCTTTCTTTTTCTTTTCCATACTTTTTGTTGTACTTGTGCTAGAAGTTAGATCTAAACAGAAGAAAGGACAAGCAGAAAAGAAGAAGAAAAAAGATAAATTAATGATTTACAAAATGTTGTATCTTCACCAGTCTTTGTTACTTGTGACAAGTTCTTAAAAGGTCTGAAATACACAAAACGTTTTGTAGACAACAATAATCCTGCCCGGGGCAGTACTCAGGCCCATGTTTTTGGGACATCCTGAAGCGTTGTCCTGAGTAAAGATACGTTTGTGAACAGTGGCCTCTATCACTAGTTGCTTATTGCATCCCTTGCTGTGGGTTGTCTTTTATATTCTTGCAAATCAAACAAGCAGTTGTTCCTTTTCCAGTCCTCTGTCTCTGAGTCTTTACCAGGCTTGTTTTACCGCGTCCACTTGTTAATATGCATCTCTCTCCCTCTCCTTCTGTTCTCCTAGCATGATGAATATTTGCCTTTCACTGCAACTCTGATATCAGTTTTCATTGTCAGAGCTGGAACAAAACCACTCTGTGAAGGGTTATGCATGTCAGCAGTATTCCCTGGGTGTGTTGTCACAACTACCAACCTCAGAATTCAACTGACAATGAATAGTCCTGTGATGGAACTGGTAGCATATCTTATATAAAATAAAAAAGTCACAAGAAAAGGGCACATAAGAAGATTACTCACTTTGAGTGGTCTCATAATCAAATGCCTAAACCAGATTAGTTCATATAACATAGGAGGTATTATTATTGAATGAGTAGAAACATTGTATACAAGCTGTTATCATATTAAATTGCTTTTCTGAATTGAAGTTCTGAATTCTCACAATTATCACTTTAACTGCTATAATTGGTACAAACTTGTTCTGTGATATAAATATCTGTAAATAAAGCAGGCTAGATACTTCTGCTATTAAAATGAGCACAAGGAAACAGGAAAACAGTGGAAAGCCACACTGAAAGTCCGCCAAATCAATGTAAAATCAAGAGAATGAAGTTAAACTATTGACAGAACCATTCTAATCCTTATGCTGGCGCATGCCTTCTTGCTGCACTCATCATACCCTCAAGCAAAGCAATGTCAGCTTTCTGTATACAAAATAGCTTTCTACCCTCAATGAGTAGTTGATGCCTGCTGATGAAACAAGTGAGGGTGCTGAGGGCAGGCAGCGGTGCTGTATATTGTATATGTATACCTGGACAAGCTGGAGAAGTGGGCCTGTGTGAACCTCATGAGGTTCAGCAAGGCCAAGTGCAAGATCCTGCATCTGGGTCAATCCTCAGTATCAAGAGAGGCTGGGGGATGAAGGGATTGAAAGCAGCCCTGCCGAGAAGGACTTGGGGGTGCTGGTGGAGGAAAAGCACAACATGAGCCACCAATGTGCGCTTGCAGCCCAGAAGGCCAACCGTCCCCTGGGCTGCATCCCCAGCAGCCTGGCCAGCAGGGCAAGGGAGGGGATTCTGCCCCTCTGCCCTGCTCTGGTGAGACCCCCCGGGAGTCCTGCGTCCAGTTCTGGAGCCCTCAGCACAGGAAAGCCCTGGAGATGTTGGAGCGGGACCAGAAGAGGGCCACAGAAATGATCGCTGTGAGGAAAGGCTGAGAGAGTTGGGGTTGTTCAGCCTGGAGAAGAGAAGGCTGTGGGGAGACCTTAGAACAGCCTTTTGGTACCTGAAGTGGGGCTGTAGGAAATATAGGGACATTCTTTTTAGCAAGGCCTGTTGTGACAAGACATGGAGTAATGGTTTTAAACTAAGGGAGGGTAGATTTAGATTAGGTATAAGGAAGAAGTTTTTTACCGTGAGGGTGGTGAAACACTGGAATGGGTTGCCCAGAGAGGTAATGGAGGCCCCATCCCTGGAACATTCAAGGCTAGGGTGGATGGGGCTCTGAGCAACCTGGGCTGGTTGACGATATCCCTGCTCACTGCAGGAGGGTTGGCCTAGATGACCCTTAAAGGTCACAGAATCACAGAATGTTCGGGGTTGGAAGGGACCTCTGTGGGTCATCTAGTCCAACCCCCCTGCCGAAGCAGGGTCACCTAGAGCACCTAGGTCCCTTCCAATCCAAACCATTCTATAATTCTGATCCCATGATATTGCAGAAAGGCATGTAAAAGGAACGCTCACTGTGTGGCAGCTCCACAAGGTAAGTGAAAGAAAGGCTAAACATACCTTGGAGTCTGTGTCCCCACACAGCTCCTCAGACCTTGGAATATCTTTTTTGTAATGTTTTACCCAGAAGAATTTCGCTCCCACTCTGCTGGAAACCCGCTTGTGCAGATTTTGTCTGTTCTGCTGCTGAAGAAAAGTTTGCACTCAGGGACAGTTGTCTAGAGCTGTCGATCACCGTTTTTGCACCTCCTGATTATTTATGTCTCAAACACAGCTAATTACATTCGCAGAAACCTGGAAAATTCTGACACCCACCAGCAATATCTTGAACTCCTGAAAGGTCCCAGATGAAAATTTCAATGGTTGCTACACATCAGTAAAATATTTCTACTGTGGAACTTCAATACAATCACGCCTGTGTCACAGTATCACCACATGACTTCATCAAACCTTACTGACATCTACCATCCAAGAAAAAATCCTTTTGTACCTGAGCATCCACTTGAGTCGAAGCCATATTACGTCCTTAATAATCACACACAACTTTTGCAGATACCAATTCAATACAATATTTTTCATGAAACTTATAACAATCCTAAACACATGACTGTTGTAAGACTAAGGTTTAAAAAAAAGACCAAGTGAATTACGAAAAAAATCTCACTGAGAAAGGAAGCTAGGTACTTAGCTCCCCTAGACCCCTTTGAAATTTCCAGCCCAAATGCACAAGCAGAGGATACATTTTTTAAGTATGAAAAAGAATCTGTCACCCTTCTTCAGTACAGAATTAACTGGACTGGTATTGATTCCACTTTTACTTGAGAGTTTATTTTACTGAGTTTTCTCAGAAATTAAGATCACTGCAGCGATCCCTAACTTGTTTTGGTAATTATTCCTGTCCCCTGTTGATGGATAATCAAATCCCCTGCTCAAAACTGGATACAAACCGAAACAATTTGAGCAGCAGTACTTTGAAAAGGTTTTGGGTTTTTGGTTTGGTTTTTTTTTTTGGAACTCCAGCCCCAGGTGAGCTGCAGCGATGTATTTATTAAATTCTTCCTGTGCAGGAAACAACAAGAAAGCCTCCAAGCTGTACAAGGTAAAAAACCCCACATACTATAATTACAGATTTGCTAGATTTTTCAAACCATACACACCCATGAAAGAGATGGGAACATATTTAGGGGGACTGAGAATTGACTGCAGATTTTAAAGGAGCAGGAGAACATTTTCAGAGGGCAAGATCTATTTCTTCTCCTAAACAAGTAAATCATGCGGCATAACTCTTGACACACCCCCACTATCGCTACCAGCACTTTCTCAGTCAGTAACTATGCTGCCACTACACCCTCAGAAGAAGCACCCAGATCCCAGACACCGCTGCCCAGCTATTGGGACTATCCAGATGCCCATTGCCACGATCACCTGTATGGCAGCCCACCACTTGCATGAGCTCAGGCGCTGCCAGCAGCGTCAGCCACACCCACGCTGTTACCACTGTACCTCAAGCAGCTCCATTAGCAGTAGCCTCTGCTCTTTCAGTCTCCATCAGTAACCACCTCAGCGCGCTGCAGCCACCCCCCGACCCCTTTCCAACCCCCAGAGCAGGTCACAGCATGACAGAACGGTAGGGGTTGTCAGGGGTTGAAAGTCGACAGTTCCCTCTGCCCTCAATCCCTTCCCACCTGTCCCTTGCACACATTCCTCGCCGTCCCCTTCATCACCTTCCTCCTCAGAGGAGGAAGCCAGGCCACCCCTTGCAGCGGCCAGAGCCTCTCTGTCTTCAGCCACCAGCCCCACCGGTACTGCCACTCTGTGCCTAAGCTCCTCCGTACTGTCCTCCACTACCTCTGAGCGCCCACCACTGACCCCGAGGTATCCCCCCTCCCCCTGCCACCACCCACACCCAAGTGCCCCTCATGGCCCTCGGCACCTCCGCTCCCAAAGCCTCAATGGCCACCACAGCCCCCGCCCAGTGACCACGGGTAT